TCTATGCCTTATTTTCATATGCAAAGTTGTAAGATTCCAGTGTCGGTTTGTCACGATATTGAGAAAATACAGAGAAATTTTATTTAGGGTGATAAGGAGGGTAAACGAGTTCATTATCTTATTAACTGGAGCACTGTAACGCAGCCAAAGGAAGTGGGGCGTCTCGGTCTTAAAAATTTAACGCTCATGAATGACGTATTACTTGCTAAAAGGGTTTGGAATTTTGCAAACAAACCTGATCAGTTGTGGGTTTCTGTTTTGAAAGCGAAAAATGAATGGGGGAACAGGAGAGGTGCTGGCTTCATGACTCGTGATGGGGATTCGTCCTTGTGGAGGAACATGTGTAGAATTTGGAAGGATATGGAGGGGAGACTTAAATGGGAGGTTGGAGATGGAAGAGATACTGCCTTCTGGTCTGATAAATGGTTAACTTGGGACTAGCCTCTTCATGATCTAGCTTTTACCACTGTTTCCAACTTCAACAATGAGCTTCGTGTGGCTGACTTGTTTAAACAAGATGGTGAGTGGGATTTTGATACCTTAGATCGTTGGTTTCCTACAAATATAATAAATATTTTCCTTGGGACATTGCCACCAGCTGCTGACGACGGTGCAGATATCAAGCTATGGGATTTGGAGGGTGCTAGTATCATTACGGTTAAAGATATTTACAAGGTGCTTACTGAGCATAATCTTAACGTTGATAACTTGTTTGACAGGTGGAGTCGATTGTGGAAGTGGAAAGGACCTGAGAAAATTAAAATCTTTATGTGGAAGGTCCTTCATGGTAAGTTACTTAATAGAAGTTATACTGCTTCTTGGGGAAACGGTAATGATGTCTGTTCGATTTGTCTAAAGGATAGTGAAACTATGCTGCATGCTCTCCGAGATTGCAGTGAGGTTAAACCTATATGGCTTCATTTTGTGCATCCTGATAGGTTAGGCAATTTTTTTCTGGAAGATTTCGATCAGTGGTTAATATTCAATATCAATATGGTTGTGACTGGAGGGGACGATGGATGGCTGTCGCTGTTCTTCGTCATCTGTTGGAAAAATTGGAACTGGAGGAATGGTTTGGTGCATGGTACTGCCCTGCCGAATATGAACGTGAGAAAGACGATCATTGGCGAGCTTGTGAGGAACATTCACGATGCTTGGAGGCATGCTCTTGGTAATATGTCTCAAAAAACTTCGATGCAAATTGATGTTGCCTGGCAATTTCCAAGTAGTGATGCAGTGAAGATTAATACGGATGGAGTAGCAAGAGGTAGTTCTAATCTAGCTGCTTGTGGTGGTTTGATTCGTAATGCCAAAGGGAGGTGGTTGGGGGGTTTTCTTATAGATAGGGTTCTTGTTCCTCTTTCAAAGCTGAGTTGTGGGGTGTTCTTCGGGGTTTGGAGTTGGCTTGGAGAAAGGGGAATCGCAACATAATTATCGAAAGTGATTCATCCAGTGTGATCATTGTGCTTACCATGAATGGTGCAGCAGTCCGTGAGTGTCATTTGATAGCTCGAATACGGACATGGTTAAACAGATGATGGTCCGTTAAACTCTTGCATATGTATAGGGAAGGGAATGTTTGTGCTGATTGGATGGAAAATTATATTCTGGATTTGGAAGATCACATTCCGTTTAAAATTTGGCGTGATCCTCCTCCTGGCATTCAGAATCTGTTGTTTGGTGATTTAACTGTTGTCGGTAGATTTAGGACAGTAGTTTGTAGGTTTTAGTTTGTTTTGTCTGTTTGTTTGTTGGGCTTAGGCCTTTTGTTTACCAAAAAAAAAATATTAAATATATTTATTTATAAGTTGAAAATATAGTGTTAAATATTAATTGTGTGATATTATTTATTGATTACCCATTATTATACAATATTAATTGAGAATGTAAATTTATTTAGGATAGAAAACTTAGGTTAGAAGCATTAGTAATTGTATCATATTAATTTTTTAATAACATTAATTGTGTGATATTATTTATGCATTATTTAATAAAATTAAGTAATATTTAATTATGCACATTTTTCTATGTATATTAATGTTGTAATTTTTTATTAATTAATATTTATTTATGAATTATAGAATATTGTCCAGATGTTTGATATTTAATTATTTCTTAATAATTAGAATTTAGTTTTTACATATTATAATTTTGTAATTGTAATATAATTGTTTTTGTAAATAGATCGATGGACCAGCACGACCCGCATCAGACTTTCATCGACCCGGGTCCATCCGACCGTACTCTCCTTGTGTTGCAGGAGAAACCCATTTCCATTCATGTGTGGAACTTATCGGATGACCCATCTGTACGTGATCGTGTCCTTAATGTTAGGCATGCTGCAACATATGATCACCTGGATATATCGGATGATATCAAGTCGTACCTTAAGCAGGCTAGATTTTATCATGTTGCGCGTTTGCGCAACCACGAGGTTAGTGAAAATTGTTTTTGTATAAGCTGCATTCATAGTTGGATGTTTTATAAATTTTGGTAAATTATTATTGTTTCGTAAACAGATTGATCACTCGCTGATATCGACCGTGGTTGAGAGATGGCGGCCTGAGACGCGTACATTTCATATGCTGATGGGTGAGGTGACAATCACCTTAGAGGATGTTCACCATCTGCTGGGGATGCCCACGGATGGGGAGGTTATCTGTGGCCGCGCTGGAGGCCATCCTTTCCAGCAGATGATTACAGATTTGTTGGGAGTTCAACCTGGGCGACAACGAGATTTTCATAAAAACCAATTGTCACTGACATTTCTTCGTCAGAGATTTCTGCATTACGCAGACCATGCCGGCACTGAAGCTGATCGGATGAGATACATGTGTGCCTTGATCCTGCGCATATTGGGGGGGATTTTATTCGTTGAGACTGCATCCAGCTTCGTCCCGGCCTGATATTTATTAGTCTTCGATGATTTCCAGCGGACGGGGACATTTTTTTGGGATTCTGTCGTACTTGCTACCTTGTGCAGGGAGTTATGCAAGGTCACAGAGCCCGGTCGATTCGATGTGCTTTATTGCTGCAGTTGTGGGCATGGACGCGGTTCCCTACCATCTCACCTGGTGTCCCTAAGGTTACTGATCCCGACGCTATATATGGAGTCAGGTAATTGTTTGTTTGCATTATCATGTTTTTATTCCAATTTGGATATTGTCTTTGTTGTATAACTGCTTATTATGTCCATTATATAAATTGGTAATCTTGTTTGCGCAATTTTTTTGCAGGTTTAACATTTATACGTCGAGACAGTTCGTCTACTCTCACATCAGACGCTACCGTCATCATATTGACGTTATGCCCAGCCGCAGGATACGGTGGAGGCCTTATGATGGATTCCCAGCACATCCGCTGTCAGGCGTCGAGTCGCGCAGATGGTTAGCTATATGTCCACTCATACACTACCAGGTTGTCGTGTACCAGCAGCCTGATCGAGTACTGCGACAGTTTAGATACAGGTCGCCAATCACGAGCGATCCATTACCATGTTCCGAGCTGCTGACTGTCACCCCTACTGGTAAGGGTGACGTGGACTGGAAGGACCGCCACAGTCTTTATATAGCGTAGTGGCATTCGAGAGATGCCCTTGTTGTACAGGGACTTCAGGCTAACACATCCGATGGACACCTCTCTGTCAACATTACTTACATCCAGTGGTTTTTCTGACATACTCGTAGGTGGATGACTCAGAGATCGGCGGTTCATTCCCATATGGTATGCATTTAGGTTTCATATTATACATATTGTTGAGTGATTTTATCGTCGACAAATTAATTTAACATATTTTACTGTGTTCTACATCGCAGAGTGACCGTATGGAGACTGTTGCTCACATGTCATCGGACGAGGCAAGGGGAGCATTCACATACCGTCAGATATACGACGAGGCGCTTCAGGCTCTGTCTTCCTTTGCTGAGTTTGGTAGATTGACAGACCCTAGAGAGCCTGCACCTCCGCCTACAGCAAACTAGGTGCATGTCAGACACGTGGCACACCTAGTTCGCTTTAAGGGGCAGCGAACTTGCCAAAGCTGTCAGCATTTATTGCAGTCAAGTTCGCTACTTCAGGTGTGCACCACCAGGAACGTGACACATCAGCAAACATAGTTCGCTACATTGCCTAGCGAACTTGTCCACGTGGCAGTTTGAGAAATAACACTGTTAGCATGGCATATAGGTAAAAAAATTGGGAACAGTGACAAAATGGTCACTGTTCCTAAAGCAAAGCATTGTTCCAAAAAAAACAAGCAAAAATTCCTCGAACTTACATCTTGAATATGGATGGAAAAAAAATTATTCTTTTGAATCTAAACCCACATTCAAACTTCGAAGTGTGCATGGCAATAATATTAATGAGGCGGCAGCACAGTGCACAAATCTAGAATTACATCTCCACAAAATAGTCAGTAATGGGACAATTACCTATCTACAACAACAAACCAAACAGACATATAACAGTACTAAATGGGAAAATCCCTACCGGGATATATTATTTTATCTATTTATTTTTATGTTTATTTTATCTATCATTTTTCAACACCGTTAGATAAGAATCTCAAGAGAAGAGATAAATGTTAAAAGTCAATTAAGATTCTTATTTAATGGTTTTGGAGAGTGATAGATGAGGTAAACATAAAAAAATAAGTAGATACAATAACCTATCCCTAAAACAACAAACCAAATTACATATAACAATACTAAATTAATAAAGAGAAAATATTTTCTCATGTTGTCGGAGACATCTTACATTATGTCATAGAGATAATCATACGGAACGATGCCAACCTTTTATAAAAAATAATAATAATAAAACTAAAGGGACCTACATATTTATCTTTATGACATGAGACAAGATATCTCCAATAACATGAGATTAATAAATCTCATTAATAAACACTTAAACAGTCACGCAGTATATATCACCCACGAAAAAGTAACAATCCAGCAGTTTAGTGATCCCTTATCCATGGACCTTGCTTCCTTTGGCAACTGCTAGCACTTTTTTCCATAAATATGACTATGTAAATTTCCATAATTGGATAAAATGGTATTCCGAAGGCTTTTATGCAGAAGACCCTGCAATAAACATAAAAAGATAAAAATGATTAAGCATATATGTGAAAGTAATTTTTACAGAAACAAGCTCTGAATCAAAACATCAACAATTGTTAAGAGTATGTGCGGTATTTTATGATTTAGAACATGCTTCTTTGCCTGATATAGATATTAAAGCAGGAGAAGAAATAAAGGATGACAAATATTAAACACTAAAGAATGCTAGCAAGAGCACTTATTGATCTGTATTAAAAAACATTCTACAACATAATTGGAATTTTCATAAAAAGTTTCTTATTATGAGGGGAAAACACAAATTAAAAAAATTGATGAAATAAAAAAGAAATATATAATAATACAAACCGTGGAGAAATTCAGTGCTTTCTGAGCAACAAAATTTCCGTAAGGATGCTGAAGAACATTCAAGAATTCACGGCTATCTATAATCTCCCGAATTATAATAGCAGCATCCTCTCCAGAAAATTGCAAGAGATCTTCCACCACATGGCTACCAAACTTATTCATAGATAATTGAACATATTTTCCGCGAAGTCCTGATATTATTGATGCATTTACCGTAGGCATCTTCATTCCAACTAAAACCTTCACCGCATAGTTCCTATTTGGGCATAAAGAAAGAAATTATTAAATATTAAAAATTAAAAACGAAGGAACATTCAAACTAAAATAAATATACAAAATTTACAAGCTGAAAGTTCAAAAAATGAATGAAGAATACTATGATAATCTACATTGTTATAATTCTTTTGAATAAATAATATTAAAAATCCCTGACTTGTTTCATTTTCATATACGAAAAAGAGAAAGAAAAAAACCTTATTCTTCATGTAGTTGATCGTAGCTTTTTTTTTTTCTTTTTTTTTGTCTTACTAGTAACATAATATTCTTTATTAGTAATTTTTAAAATTAGTTAGTAATCAAACTTTTAGACACTTGGGGAGAACCCAAATTTTTTATTTATTCAAAAATCACGATTTTCAGGAATATGGTGATAAATTGAGTTTTCTGAAAATATTATAAAAAGGTTATTTGGTAGGCTAAAATATTCCAAGGAATATTGGATTAATTTTCTTAATACTATGTTAGGTTGTATTAAGTTTTCCCTTGTCATGGGAATCCTAGAATATCATCCTCTTTAGAGAATGGTATTCTTAAATGGTATTTTAGAAAATTTCACACACAAAATAAAAATTCAAAAAAATTAGATTTCTAGATAAAATTTAAAAATCTCGTATCAAACGTGGATAAATAAGATTATTATCTTTAATTTCCCTAAAATCTTAAAAAAAAAAAAAACCTTCTATCAAACACCCTTTTACAAAAAAAGTTATCCCAAAAAATAAATAAAAAATAGTTAGTTACAACTAATCATATGAAGGTGTAAAAGCACGCGGAATGGATCCTCTCATATGAAAAAGTGATCCTCTGATCATGTTATTTGATCACAACCACTCATTGATGATGAGATAAAAGAGAGAAAAATGTATAATTTTTAAATGAGTGATTGTGATCAGATAACATGATCACATAATCACTTTTGCACATGAGAGGATCCAAAAGCAGCAGAGAATAGGGGTGGTAAACAAACCAGGGTCCTTTGGCTCGGCTCGTGAAGGCCTGAACTTACATGTTTGAAATTGGTTATTGGAACCAGGCTTGGACTTGTATAAAAGCTCGTTTAATAAAAAGGCCTGAGGCTCCAATTCAAAAGCTCGACCTAGTATATTAATTTTTATTTTTATTTTTTATTTTTTATTTTTTATACTACTTGTAATAGTCTCTTCTCTCTCCTCAATCCATTTCACTTTTTTTTGGTTAAAAAGATTTTTTGAATAATTTTGTTCTATATTATGTTGTTTGGATATACATTGAATTTATGAATATTTATGAAATTACTAGTGCTGTTGATTGTATATTCTGTTTGGATAAATTTTTGTTGTCTTATTTTTTTTAAACAGGCTAACAGGTCAAACCAGGCTTTTATTTTTTGTAAATAAGACAGGCCAAAGTCGATAATTATATTCGTAACAGGTAACAGGCTAGGTCAGGTCAGGCTGACACATTTAAACACAGGCTTAACCTTTTAAAACCAAAACTCGGCTCGGCTCGGCCCGTTAACCAGAGAACATCGTTGCCCTTTCAAATACGGGATGCAAATAAATTACAAAATAAGCAATAAAATATAACGAGCAGTTTTTGAGAGTTGGAAGTCAAACCCATATTTATCTTCTGCTAAGACTGCAGCATTGACTATAATTTCTTTAACCAGCAGAAATATAGCTTGTACCCGATCAACATGGCCCAGACAATTTTGAATAGCAGTAGAACCGCTTTTATCTGTTGCAATATCAATGCAATTCATTGCAACTTCATCCAAAATAACCTGAATGAAAAATCGTCAATTAAAAATTGGATGAAAAAAAAAAGGTCTTATTCATGTTCACTTGTGTGACATAATCAGTATTATTATAATTAATTAACTGCAATGTTGAAATAAATACAATCTCTTGTATCCATTCTAGGATGTGTAACCAAGTTTTTTTTTTTTTTTTTTTTTGCAATGTAAGAACAATTACATATGTAATGTAATCAAAAGAAGCACAAGAATGGGATATTATTATTGTGTGCATTACTTTTTGATATGCTGGTGGGAAAAGCTTCACACAGTGCTCAATGACATTAGCACCATTATCATTTTTCACCAATATGAGAATGATGGGATGAAATGCACATAAAACTGCATATAATTTATCTTGGGTTTCTACATTCAGCTCCAGCATTCTCTGCATAGCCCGACTCCTATATTATACCAAGAAAATTAGAACGCAAGAATTCCGTAAAATTCAATAAAGAATTCCATAAAATTCAATAATTTTTTTTAAAATTTCAAAGAAAATTAAGAAATATTAAATGTAATGGTACCCGTATTTGTCTACGCAGACATATTTCAGTTTCTGCATATCTTGGATAATCAATGAAAAAATTGCATCTTTCTGATCCACAGTGACAGTCCTTGCCTCAAAAATCTTCTGAACTACGTGATTGCCAAAAGGGTGTCTCATTAGCTCATGCAAATGATCCTTCACTTCAGAGAGGATCATTCCAATTTCCTCAGGTGTCCCCACATCAATCTTCCTCTGCAGTAAACGACAACCATATTGATCCTCTGCCATTGAAACCACCCTTCTCCTCACACCGTCAAGTGAATTAAAATTACAACGACCCACTTGTGATTGTGAGCGTTGCATCATTAACCTGTAACATTCTAATAACCTAACTCTATTCCAATTAGGATATTCAAATGAATTTCCCATCCTCCAATCTGGGGCAGCAGCAGCAGCAGCAGCAGCACGCATCCTTAAACTACTCAAATAGCAATCTTCTTGAATAAAAAGATTGGTCCCCAAATCACGGGAATAGTGATTCGTGGACAAGTTAAGTCCTTTCATAGCAGACTCAATGGCTTCTACACCAACAGTAGGGTTAACAGTGTTCTGAATCTGATTCAACCAATAAGACTCAGAACTCTGAACTTGGTGCAGATTCCATGGGGGAAAGGGATAAGGGGTTTCCACCACGGTGCCGTTTTGAGCACCGCGATTTTGAACAGAAGGATCAAGAATGATGGGTTTGAGATGATTATTGTTAGGGAACATTGTGGAATCTCTGCGTTCCATTGAAAGAGGAAAAAAAATACAGAAAAAACACAAACTATGGAAGCAGAAGAACGAGTTGAAGAAAAAGCGGGTTGTGTTTGAATTTATATGGAAACTATAGGATTTGATCATGAGAGTCCTGGTTTATCAAGAAATCATAGGATTTGATCTTGATAGAGATTTCAAGATTTGATCACGTACACATCTCTTTGGACTTTTATTTTATTTTTATTTTTTTCATGCAGGGAAAGCTTTTAGTTTGAATATTTGATTGGTAGGTGGACCCCACTTATACTAATTTGTTATTCATAATGGCATTATCATCTCTCCTTAAATTTGAATTTTTTTAAATGCATTGATTTAATATTCTCTCGAAATACTTTTAAAATACACCGTTTTATTTTCAGCTACCATAAATTTATGACTTGGTCAGAAGACAATCTTACTATAAATTAGGAAATTGTATTCCCGACCTTTAATTTCTTTACTTGATTGGAGAAGAGCGTTAGAATTCTCAATCAAATACAAATAAAAGGGAAAACTTGCCTGATTGTCCCATGTGCCTGATAATAAGTGCTAAATATGTTAACAATCTTGGATGACTCAGGGTAAAACTTGTGCATTTCTTCTAATTGCGTCTACGGTTTGATCAGATATAGGTTAATTGGATAGGAAAATGTGTCACGGGTTAACTTGATATTGGATCATTAAAGGGACTTTGTAAAAAAAAATCTTCTTTTTTAATTTTTTTTCTTTTCATTTTATTTTTATAGACATTTTTTATTGAATAAAGTAAAATTGAACTCGATCAAAATAGAATGCTCAACAAGATTAAAACCAAGATGTAATTATAAAGAAGGAATGAAAATAAACAATGAATTTTTTATTTTATTTTTTACTTTAATAAGTAGAGACATGATGCCTTATTAGTCTTTGCAACAATTTTTTCCGCTTCATTGTTGAACTATTTTCCAAAGATAAATGAACTCTAAAAAATAAAATAAAAAAAAAAAAAAAAACACACAATAACACGTATATTGGCCCCTTTTTCGTACATTAAATCTAATAGTATATATATATATATGGGATAGGATATTGTGACACACAAATAATGTTACGCACAATATTACGACCACATCTTAACCGTTGATTTCCGCCAATCAACGGTTATTATTTTTCAAATCAAACTCATTAATTAATTATTAATTCGCAATAAATGATAACCGTTGATTGACGGAAATCAACGGTTAAGATGTGGTCGTAACATTGTGCGTAACATTATTTGTGTGTCACAATATCCTATCCCTATATACATATACCTCCCAAAAGTATAACCTAGATGCTAGTCCAGGCATTAAAACCCTTCTAATTTAGCAGTTTAAGGGTCATGATTCCTTTATTTTTGGACAAATAGTATTTCAAATTTTCAAGAGCTTTTAAAAAAAAAAGTTTTTTTGACCAGAAAAAATATTTATTTAATTTATTTTTGAAACAATTATAAAAAATAATGCGATCATTTCCGCATGTTAACCGAAACAAGTTTGGCACGTCAACAATTTGAGATTTAGGGAGTATATTGGATTGAGATTTCGATGCACGTCAACAATACCAAATGGTGGTAGCTCAGTTGACGCATGAGAGCTAAATAGGTGAGGATGAGAGCATGCGTTCGAATCTCTCTAGTGCCACTTTGGGAGAGGTTTAAAGCATTAATCATGGACCCGCTCCGAATCAGATTAGTTGCGAAATAATAAACCGATTAGAATATTTTCAAAAAAAAAACACGTCAACAATTCTGATTTCCTCCTTTTCTTCCTCTCTCTTTCTCAATAAATTCTCTGTCTAGCTTCTCTCTCTAAGAGATATTTCAAGCAAGTATTCGCTTATTTAATTTATTTAATTTTATTATTGAAATAATACTATAGTAATTATTATTTTTAGGTTTAGGTTAGTGCTATTAAGATAATTTTGGTTGTATTTAATACAGTGACAATAGATTAGGCATTAAAATATAATAATTATTGTTACGATGTAACCAATAATAGAGGAAGAATCTTTTGACTCCGATGTAAAATTAAAAAAACTTATTACCCATCTTAGTCGTTGTTCTCCATGCACCATATTGTTATATGTTATTGAGTTATATTCATTAAGTATTATTAATGGAAAATAAATTATATCAGTCAGAAGCACGCAAATTAATGACTCAAATGAGAAGTAAGATTTTTCAATCTTACACCAGACTATTGGAGTCAAAAGATCCTTCCTCCCAATAATATATGTAGTGAAAATCATTATATAAATGTAATTGATTAATATGTAATCAGTATTTAAATCAAGAGTGTAAAATAAGTTAGTTTATTTATATTAGTAGTGATTAGTGTTGGAAATCGACACATGCAAACACAAATCGCAAAACAGAAAAGAGGAAAAGGAAAAGAGAATATTCACACAACGATTTACCCTGGTCCACCCTATGTAAACTACGTCCAACTTGTCTGTATTATATTTTCACCTTACCGCCAGTCATTACAAGTCACTCGGTTTACAAAAAAAAATATAAATACGATTAGAAAACTCTAACAACAGTTATTTATGGGTTTAAGCCCAAACTGTTAAGAAAAATAAAAAATTTAATAAATTAGGGACCCACAACAGTACCTGGCCTAGGGGCAGCTCCCTTAGGACCTCAATTGCCTTTCTGCTGACCCCGACAACAAGGGCTCTCATCAGCATGCGAAATATGAGTCATATCCAATAGTCTTCCACTTGGTGAATGCTTCGCATGTTTCTTCAATCCTAATACAGTTGTACATCATTCAAACTTCTCTGAAGTCACTGCCTTGGTCAGAAAATCAGCACTGTTGATCTTTATGTCAACCTCCCCCAGCAATACAACCTTGTTTTCAATCTTCTCTCTGATGAAATGGTATTGTATGCTGATATGCTTGGTCATCGCATGGAAACCTGAGTTCTTAGTCAAGAAAATGACGCTCAGACAGTCACACCCAACAATTATCTCTCCTTGTGCAAAGCCAAGCTCTATGCACAACCTCTGTAACCAAATAGCTTCCTTGACAGCATGTGTTAAGACCATGTACTCAGCCTCTATAGTAGATAAAGCAATAGTGATCTTATTCTTACTTATCCAACTGATAGCTCCGTTGAATGAGAAAACAACATATCCACTTGTAAACCTTCTACTATCAATGTCACCTCCGCAATCAGCATCCACAAAACATCTCAGCTCTAATAATGTCTGTCCCCTTGAGCCCTTCACGCCTTCATAGCATAAACCAAGGTCAGACATACTATAAAGATAGCAGAACACACGCTTCACCGTTGTCCAATGCTCTTTTCCTTCCTTGGATATATACCTGCTCAATACTCCCACTGCTTGGGCAATATTTGGACGAGTACAAATCATTGCATACATTAGACTCCCAACTGCACTAGCATAAGGAACTGATGCCATCTCTTCTTCTTCTTCTTTAGTCTTGGGACACTGGTCAACCGATAACTTAGAACCAGTAGACATGGGAGTCAACACAGATTTGCAGTCAGTCATCTTGAATTTCTTCAGAACATCCTCTATGTACTTTCGCTGACTCAACCATAATCTTCCTTTGTCACGCTCCCTCTTAATTTGCATACCCAAGTTCACATTTGCAGCGTTTAAATTTTTCATTTCAAACTGTTTTTCCAACAGTCCTTTTACAGTGCTAATCATCTTCAAAATGTTTCCAACGAGTAACATGTCATCAACATACAAAGTTAGAATAACAAAGTCACCTTCTAACCTTTTCATATAAACACAATGATCAACATCACAGCAATCAAAGGCAAGTTTCACCACATAAGTGTCGAATGTAATGTTTGGCCACTTCAAGAATTAATTACAGTCCCCACAAACTAACATGAGACTTTTCGGTGTGCTTTGTTCTCACTCACACACTTCTTGAAAAAACTTCCCAGGAGGTCGCCCATCCCAGAATTGCTTTAAGTTAAGCACACTTAACTATGAAATTCTTTCGTTCTGGGCTATCGAAAAGTAGATGCATCTTGTTAGTCTAGGTAGTACCAATTAATTCTTATCAGTTATCCCCAACTATAGAGTCATATACTTGTACAGTCTTTTGAATCCCTCTCTTTCGGGTGTGTATTTGATTCATGCATGTACCCCTCCGCTAGAAGCCTGCCAGGAGTCGCTCCTTGTTCGTGCCTCTTTGCACCAACGATCACTCTCCGCCCTTGTCAGCCATCGGGATGTTATATGCCCCCCAGTTTTCGTCTGGTTTGTCCTCGAACCACATCGTACTAGGAGAGAGGCCATGCTCTTATACCACTTGTAACGCCCGACAACTTCAAAAATCGATGAATGTCCCTACAAACTAACACGAGACTTGTTGGCTTGCTTTGTCCACTCACACACTTCCTGGAAAAACTTCCCAAGAGGTCGCCCATCCCAGAATTGCTTGAAGTTAAGCACACTTAACTATGGAGTTCTTTCATTCTGGACTATCGAAAAGTAGATGCATCTTGTTAGTCTATGTAGTATCAATTAATTCTTATAAGCTATCCCAAACTGTAGAGTCCTATACTTGTACAGTCTTTGGAATTCCTCTTTTTCGGGTGTGTATTCGATTCACTCATGTACCCCTCCGCTGAGAACCTTCTAGGAGTCTCTACTTATCCATGCCTCTTTGCACCGGCGATCACTCCATACCCTCGTCAACCACCAAGATGTTAGAAGTCAGTTATCAAAGGAGGATAACTGCCAGTCGAAGGCATGCCATATAACATAATATGGTTGCGGCCCCGTTGGCCATCAATACAGATGGTGTTAATTTGTAGATAAGTTTTTTAGACTGCCATTATGGACACTTGTAGTAGCACGTTGATAACCTTGAGCAACAATTGCTTTACACCCACACATATCTTCTATGTCTGGAAGGGGGATTCTTGTTATGTGAGAAGTCTATATTGTGGTTGCTTAACATTATGTAAATTTAGGGGTGTCAATTCTTGACAGTTGACACGAAAATTCATGCTTGGGTTGACCCATATTAAATTTGTGTCGTCTTCGTATTGGAAAAACATGACACGCAAAATTCCATGTCGTGTTGCGAGTTGGGTCATGTCAACACGAATTCGACCCATTTTTTTAATTTTTTTTGTTAATTTGACCATTTTTTTAATTTTTTTTGTCATTTACCGTTTTGACCTATTATTTGCGTGTTATTTGTGTCGTGTCATCCGCAAGATTTGCGAGTCTTGTTTGTGTCGAAGATTCTGATACGAATAAAAATTCGTGTCGTATACGTGTTACATGTATTCGTGTCTTGTCGAGTGGTTTTGACAACACCCTATATATATTTGTTGGGATGAAATTTTGAGTATACTCCCACATAGGGTCGAGCTCGGCTCGGCTGGTCGACCTGCCCGTCAAACAGGACGGGGCGAACTGAGTTTTACAACCCACTCTCAAAAATGGGACAAGATAGGCTAACTCATTTTTTGACGGATTGATGACGGGGAGGGACGAGGCGAGTTAGTGAAAAATAGGCACGACCCAACCCGTCCCGCCCGGTTTGCCGATTTTTTCAACCCACTCTTAAAAGCGGGGCGGGCTTACTCGTTTTTGGGGGGTTGATGGCAGGGTGAGGCGGGCCGCCCACTTTACCACCTCTACTCGCACATATCAACGGTGTTTGTTATCCTATTTAGGGATATATTTGTAAGAATAGTCATATTAATTATAAACTCTAATACTATTAAGGAGAGACTTGGATTAAAAAAAGCACAAAGGGATAAACGATAAAAAAATATAGGAGACAAACCACAGTGGGTATTTGAACTTTCAAAAGAAAAAATGGGAGGTAGGAAGTTAAACACAAGAAAATTAGTTGAACTTTACCCAAACTTTTAAACTACAAAGACCTGCAAAAAAATTCTGTGAAATTATAACAATCTATAAAATAATATAACCTAATTTATTTAAGGGGAATTTTTTTAATGAGGTGTGACATTTAATTAATAAATTATTTACGCAGTCTCAAACCACAAAAGCCTAATTCCCACTTTGACTATATCCTCACACAGACCTGCAAGCTTTGAGAAAAAATAACTACCGTAATTTCCCCTCGTAGTAATCACAACATATCTAGTAACAGCTCACAAATTGACAACTGCTTGCTACTTTCATATGCTTCACCAATCCAATCAATGTATGATGTATGCTCTCAATTTGAGGATGTGAGTAACTGCCAACAAGAAATTCATGTACAACTCCATCCATACTAATCCAACTACTTCCTGGCTGTTTCTTGATCCCCTTCTCTCTCATTTCCAGTCGCAGCGTTGAAACTTCATTCCATTGACTATCAGATGCTAGTGCATTAGCCAACATCACATAGCCTGCAGAATTATTTGGGTCTACTTCAACAAGCCTCATGGAAACCTCTTGGGCCAACTCAACTCTAGAGTGGAGCAAGCACCCTCCAAGCAAAGCACCCCAGACAAAATTGTTAGGCTTGAAAGGCATAGAAGTTACAACCTCAATAGCTTCTTCTATACATCCTACTCTTGCAAGCAGATCAATGTAACAAGCATAATGTTCCAATTTAAGAGAGTTGGAAAAGGTTAGGTCTCTGAAAATCTGGCGTCCTCTCTCCAACAACCCAGAGTGACTGCATGCACTTAAAACACCAACAAATGTTCCAGCATTGGGTTGTAAGCCAAATTCTGGCATTTTGTAGAAGAGTCTCAATGCATCCTCTCCTTCACCGTTTACTGCAAGACCCATGAGCATTGCATTGAATAAGACGACATCTTTGGAGACTGTATGCTGAAAAACTTCCTTTGCCCTTTCCAAACAGCCACATTTAGAATACATGTCAATTAAAGCTGTGGCGAGAATTTGGTTTGACCCAATGGTACCATTATGTCCAATAGATATCAGGTACTCATGAACCCAACCACCAAGACTCAGATCACCAATTTGAGCACACGCTGAAAGCACACTAACCATCGTAATGTGGTTAGGTCTAGCGGTTTGTTCTTCTACCATCATGCGGAAAAGACTTAAACCCTCCACAGGGCAACCATTTTGAACGTATGCACTAATCATTGCATTCCAAGGAACCACACCTCTTTTTCCTGTTGTAGAAATTCGGTCAAACCTTTCTCTACTCTTCTCAATCTTCCCCCATTTTCCAAACAAATAAAGGATAACCGCATTAACCGAATCATGACAAATTTCTCGAGTATCATCAATCAATTCCGAAAGAATGTCAACCCATTTCTCAATTTTTGATATCTCAAGGCTAGAACAAGCTGATAAAACACTGACCAGTGTATCATTTTGGGGAAGCAAATTCTGCCTAATCATGACATGGAAAAGCTGCAAAACCTCCTCACTCTGACCAGACTGAGCACAACCAGTAATCAAGGAAGTCCAACAGCTAACTGCACTTTTGTCAGGAATTTCATCAAACACTTTGCGGGCAGATAACAAATTGTTAAAGCCTTTAGCGTACACAGCAACCAGCCCATTACTAACAAAAGAGTCACCAATGAAACCCATTTTCTGAATGTGGGCATGAATCTGTTCAACATAACGGGCATCTTTGGTCCGAAAGCATGCCTTAAGGAGGAAAGAGAAGGTTAAGTCATTAGGTAAAAGTGGACGCTGTTTCAAATCGTTGAACACGGAAAATACGTGAAAGAAGTGACCCTCTTGGGCGAGGACTCTGATGATGGCGTTAAAAGGGAAGATATTTGGATTTCGGAGGCGGTGAAAGACCCTGAGAGCAACGCAAGATGGGTACTGGCCAATGAGGCGCGTAGCTATGAGATTGTCTTGGTGCGCGCCAACTTGAAAAATGCGTGCATGGATTTGGAGGAGATAAGAACGCGGAAGGTGGCCCTGTAGGAGTGCAGCAAGGTTTGTGAAGCTGTTCGGGTCTGCAGTGGAAGAGTGAAGAAGCGCAAAAACAGAGGAGGAGCAGAGTTTGAACTTTTGGGTGGGAACGACACAGAAATGGGACGGTGAAAACATATTTATTTTATTTTTATCCGAATTTTCATTTGAAGACCGCTAAAAAATGTCACATGTTCGAGGTTTGAATCTGAACAAACAAGCTGACTTCAAACAACAGTTGTTACTTTAGAAAGTACAAATAACTCTTCCTTAAAACTGCTTTATACCTGAATTCTGATAAAGCATTTGAAGGTTGTACATTTTGAACTGCTGATGGGAAGCAAAAAGAGTTTTGAAGTGCTGACGTGAAGCAAACTGTGTACTTCAATAATCTGTTATTTTGAGGTCGTCATCCACAACAGTTGCACTATATTTTTTCAAAAAATATACAAGAACAAGATGTGTACTCTCTTACTTCGATGCGTAAACAAACTAGTTTGGCGTCGTAAGAAGCTACTTATAGTCACCAAAATCATTTTACTTCGATTTCACTTTCAACCAAAATGAATTTTAGACAATCAACTTCATTCAAAATTAAGGTCGCAAAGGCTCTCCGAAACACATATGAACACATATTTATATGGTGTAGAGCAGCCATCAATGAAATCCAACTAATCCAGCAAACAAGATGCATAAAGGTGTAGCCGCAGTTATTTTGTTCTTCATAACGAGTTGAACTTTTAACTAAAAAGATAAGAGTAATTACAGAAAATTTTAAGATCTTTCTTAAAGTATTCCCCCGAATGAGTTGTTTTGATGATTTTATCAGCTCTTTACTGCTGGGTCAAGACATCAAATGATATGAATCAAGTAGAAATATAAAATCTAGATACATCTAACTCAATTGTGTTATCGAAATATAAACTGATAAATAATCAACTTCATCTAGCATCTCGTGCAACATAGTTCGTCACAATATTTCCATAACCTATAATATAATCACCCAGCACCAACAAGTAGGTTTGTGCCAATCAACTCTGATCCTTCCCATGGTCTTGTGCCAGTAATGCAAGATTTATTTTTCTGTAAGCAACGATATCTCCTCAGCAGAAGTGACTAGCACTTGTGTCTGTGTTATTATCTCTTCATGTTGAAAAGAAAAATCATGTTGAAACCGCACGTTTATATACAGATTGAACCACCAAAATTTGAACAGCATTCAAGCAACTTGTTCACTCCCTGAGGCATCATTCTCAGCATCACTTGTCAAGGACAGCAGTTCCATCAACTCCATTCGGTACTCGAGGCCTCTAAGATAGTGTCCCAACAGCATGCACCTTTTTATAGGGGGGTTATCAGTAAGGAAAGTTAGTTTTGTTCAGAACATTTGCATCAACAAGCAACGCACTCATAAATAAATATTCCAAATCATCTTTCGAGCTTCATAATAAATTCTGATTCCCTTTTGAACATCATTAACTCCTAAATTATTCATTCTTGCACAATAAATAAATAAAATACATATACAGAAAAGAAAGTACATAATCAAAAGCAGGGGGGAAAAAAACTGACCAAAAAAGCAGACGAGCGAGATAGTCCCGTGTTAATGAAATAATAGGCTGAAATTGAAGTGAAGAATTCTCAACAACCTCAGCACAATCCTCACTCCCAGCATTTGCTGTTCCAACTGTTGCATTCTCTGACATTGTTGAAGGTTTAGAATGCATCTTGGGAGAAAGGGTAGCAAGGAGACCATGGACAACAGAGAGGATGGTGTCCTTCAGCTCGGGGGATGTAAATTCTGATAGCTGAGCTACCTGCTCATTAGCCACATACACAACCAACTAAAATACTGATATAAATTGAAAATAAATGCAATGAAAACATAGTTAAATGAAATAGGCGAGCAAAATCTAATAATGTCACAATAAAGAATACCAGGGAAAGTGCTTCTTTAAATGTTTGAACGAATATTTGGATTTGTGACAACCTTAGAATTTCCATCATAACGATGGGAAAGTATAAATGTTTTAAAGAGCATAACAACAACCAAACGCCTTTTCCCACTAGGTAGGGTAGGCTACATGAATCAGATGACTTCCAGAAATCATATGAACGACAGTGTTTTAAAATACATTAAAAATAAATTAATTAAACATGAAAAATTTTATATGAAGAAAAATATCCTTATCGATTGTAGAGAGAATAAGCAACAAATGTACCAAAGCGGAAATCACTTAAAATAATTTTGTGTTAGATATTTTCTTCTTCCCGGTCATTTCATACACAGTGCACCGATACAACATTATAACAGCAAAGACAAATTGTCAGTCTTCATATGTTTCCAAGCTATACATCAAGATAAATACTGGGATGAAAAACCAAGGCCAGATAGAATTGCACCATGCTAATACATAGCCATTACACAGCATATACAGGGGGGAAAAGGTCTGAATGCAAAGACAACTAAGGAATTTTCTCAAAAAGGCAAAACCTGTTCTGGTTGAAGAGATCTCAAGTAATCCAATAAATCGTTCTTTTCTTCTCCAACAAACTGTTGCATTTGAAGAGCAGCACTTTTCCTTTTCACTTCATGTAGTTCCTATAGAAATGTCGCCAAAAATTGGAAAAGAAAGTCAAATGAGAAAACTATTTATTTCTAATATTGGTCTATTTGCAACTAAAGGATTTGAATTTGAATGTAAGATCAATCACAGCCATGGTTATCAAATGCGGGTAGCTGCCGGAAGCGGCCAACCCACAAAAATGCTATAGCGAGTAGCGGTATAACGCAACAATGAAGTCCTATGCATGAACCTGCCATCTTCAATATGGTTGCTGGAACAGAGTTGTACAAATATTTCAAATCAAATAGTGAACTAGCTATCAAATACAACAGAAGAAATTGTACTAAAAGTCCAAAAAACTTAGCCAGAATTTATAAGATATTTCTGGTTCACTAATTTTAAGGTATAATTTTGAATTATTATAAAATTAGGAGTCAACTAATTTTAGAACAAAAATCAAACTAGAAGAAAGGAATGTCATCTTCATTTGTACAGATATCATAAGGAGTTCACATAGGAGTAGTATTAACAAATAAAGGCAGAAAAAGAAAAAGAGAGAATAAATCAGGGGGAGAAAAAAAGGAAAAAAAGAGGCCAAAAAACAACAGAAGGTCTGGAATAGAGAAAATCATTGGAAATGGAGGGGGGACTAGTCGTCGATCACCGAAAGTTGAAGTTGGTTGCCGGAAGTGAAGTTGGCTGCTGGTCCGCTCAGAAACGAAAGAGAATGGTGGACGCACAGAGAGAGTAGAGAATTCACATTTCAGATGGAAAGATCGGTTAAAAAGACCATTTAGCCATTAAAATATGACAGTTGGAACTTTAAGTGGAGAATAAAAACGGAAACATGCACTCTGTCCTTGTAGCGGCGCTATTGCGCCGCAATTGGCCTCTACAACTGCTACGGTGAAGTGTAGCATTGTGGCGCGGCCAATAGCGGACTGTGGCCGCTACCCGCTACAGTTGCAGTATAGCACACAAAAGCGGCACAATTGATAACTATGATCACAGCCAAGCAGACAAATTAGAGAGCATGTCCAAATTAAAGGATGAAGCATATCATGATATGTGTGACTATCGAGAATTTGCATTGTCCAATGCAAAATACATTTCAAAAACCATTCAATACACCATGAATCCCACGCTTAAACTCTTTCTAGTATCAAGGAAGGATCCTTAAATTTACAACATACCTTTTTCATGGAAGACAACTGAGATTGCAAATTGAAAATATATTGTTGAGCTTCCACAGATATTTTACCAAGGTCTTGAATGTCGACATCCTCGTGACGCTTATCAACTTTGGAAGACAAATTATTGTTTCTACCAAAGTCAATTACATTTACACTATCATGTAGCAACCCTTGTAAGTCAAGCTTAGTATTTTCTGCCTTTGGCTTATCTAGATCTCTTTCATCCGTATCAAAGTTTTTCTCCAGGCAAAGCCTATATTCAGCATTGCGCAGTGTGTACCTGCAATACAAGAAGAAATCTTTTCATATTCCCTCAATTTGGACAATCAGTACCCGGTCATGCATGAAAAGGACAACATTCATTGGAAGTTTCAAAAAAATCGGGCACATTTATGAACGTACATCCATGCAGATTAATACTTGTAAGAACAATATTCTCTCCCTTCGCCAAAGGACTTGTCAATTTATCTAAACAACTCAGAGAAAAGGAGAACCAAATTACAGGCTTCAAGAGGGCATAATTTATATGATATTTGAAAGCAAACAATACCCCTACAACCATAATAACAGTCCTATGAGCTCCAGACAGAGAATATACATATATTACTGAAGTATTTGACACAGTCATTGACATTGAACTTACCCAGTCATCATTGAAGAAACCAGTAACTTGGAGAGGGGTTCCCACAAGGCCTCGACGACGACATGAAACTGATCAGATGGAAGCAAGCCCAGCATACCAGATATAGTCCTTTTCATGGCATCTGCTGTAGTTGGTGGAACATCTTTCTGGATGTGGCTCACATCCAGAGGTTCTATCTCTTGTATCAACTCCGTGAGAACTGATTTCTAGAAGAATAACGCTCAATTGTCAAATTCACTGTTATATATTGTTGTTATATATTAACAAAAATGCTAATTACAACACATACATCTTTCGGATGAAATGCCACATAGGAAAAATGTTACATGAAACGAGAAACTGTATTATTGTAAGGAAGGGCTTCTTTTCCACTCTAATTGTATTATTAAAAACAATGATTTTTTTTTTTAAAGGAATAAAATGAATGGAAAAACCCATAAGTCAGCATAAATTAGAGAAAAAGAAGAAAGGGAAGGAACCTTGGAGGTGAAATCGCCGAAGGAGTTGGTTGAGGAAGCAAGAACCAAAAAGGGGGTTCGGGATTTTGTAGGGTTTGAGACATGACGCAGAGGAGAGAAAGACAGGGATAGGGAGGGGCGAAAACGCGAAGGTGAAGGGTGGGTACGGAAGAGAGGAAGAGAGGAGGAAAGGGTTGCCATGACGACAACACCCACTCTTCCTTCCCTTCTCTCTTTCTCTTTCTCTTTCTCTTTCTCTTTTCTAGCAGCAGGGTATAGCAGCCACAATAATAAACATAGAGTAAGGGAAAGAGTAATTAATTGTGGGTGATAAAAAACGTAGAAACAGGCCAAAAGACAAATGGATCCACCAATGGAGTAATGGACTACGGATCAGTCAAGACGCAAGCATTTTGGTTTTGGTCTATAATCTATGCAGAAATACTTCCATGCCACACATATTTCGATTTATGTGATTTTCTTTTCTTTTATTTTTTAAATTTTTTAACTATGGAAAGTTGGAAACCACTAATGGGACGTTTGGTGCAGGAGATAAATTTTACTATCAGGGAAATATAATTAGTGGAGAAATAATTAAAAAATTAAATTAGTGGAAAAATGTAAAAAAAATTATTTGGTAGATCGAAATATTACCAGAAAAATTAACAAATATTTACTAAGATTATATTTTGTTGAAAGTAAAAGATTGATGAGAAAAATATCAAAAAACCAAAAATATCCCTTTAAAATATCGACTTTCTTTATTCAATAGAGTCGTTGTTGCAATATCGTTTGACACCTGTTCGACATGGCTGGAAATACCCCTCACAAGCTCATGTTTATGTTTGTGGAGCTATAGTTGCTGCACAAAGCATCCGCATGGCTGGATCAACTCAAGATTGTGACAATTACATGGTGGATCATATTAATGAGTGGCATGTCTTACAATGGAGGGGACCAGGGATATTTGATTGAAATATTTACATGGTGGCATAGGATAGCAAGACACATGAACTTCTTGAAGCATTCTTTGATTGGTGATGAGGAGGAGAAGAAATAAATGAAAACTATGTGGTTTGCTGCTGAGCCTCCAATTCTTTGCATGTTCTTCACTATCTACATTTGATGCCTTGGTTATGCTACAGGGACTATGATTGCAAGTGATATTGCACATGAAAAGTGGTGGAAGGTGCATGATGCAATGCCTGAGCTCCCTCAAGTTTTGCTAGTTGATTTCTAAACCAACGTATCGTTTGCACAAAATAAGGAACAACCACGCCTCAGCAGCAACCAATGATACACCCCAGCAGCAACCACGCCTCATATTTCAATCTTCACTCATTTCTTACGCAAAATAAAGACCACATAGAGGAGAGAGGATCTGACTAGCTGAATATCAGGGGCATTTGGGTAGCAAAACACGCGCCAAATTTCCACTTCTCTGATTCTCTCCAAATACCACCTCCACGGTCGCATTTGCAAATAGTGATTTCTACAAAAATTTACACACAACGCAAGGTTTCATGGGGAAAGAGGTTCCCTGGTTATTTTTGTCACACTCTTCTACCAAACGAGGCTTAATTGAAAAACCACTCTCACTTACCCATCAATCCCCCTAAAAACCACTTACCAAACACCCCTAAAACATGTTTCTATAGAAAAATTTCTCCAAAGAGAAAAACAAAGTCCATAATTTATATGCATGATTTGCCTAGATACAGTATACAAATAAATTAAGGGTTTTATAAGAGTTATGTGGTAGGAAAAGTGATTGTGTAATGTTATAGTGATTCGTTTTGCATGCCATAATTTTCTTTTTCTTTTTTCTTCAAAAAGTGTGGGTCCCACAAAATATTGTGTGTGTAGGAAAGTTTGTTGTGTCATGCTAAATGACAAATGCAAACCCCATAAATTAATCACAATAGTTTAGTTGAGTTGACGTATAAAAATTGAGTAGGTAGAAATGAGAGCATGTATTTAATATTTTCTAGTATTATTTTTAGGAAGAATTTAAAATCTTAATCTTGGACCTGCCCCTAAATAGCAATCCTGTAGAGAGGTTTATAAAAAAAATTAATCAAAATATGCACAATTTAGCAAACTATTGGATGACTATAAGAATGATAATGAAAAAGGTAATTAGAACGACTTAAAAATCGATGAAATTAAATATGGGAAATGCAACAAGCCAACACATTATCATCCATGTGTTGCTTGTAGGTCTCGAAATCAAATTTTGCGAACTCATCTTTCCCTTCCTTAGGTGCAATAGGTAAAGCAGCGTCAAGGACATGAGCAACTTTTTCGGCCCGAAGAACAATTCTTACGTTCTGATACCAATCCATGAAATTAGGATCGATAAACTTGTTCGTTTCGAAAATAGTATGCAGAGACAAATGTACTGACATATTAAGCTGAAAAGTATGTAAAGATAAAATAATTAATATTGTTATAAATAGATCATATTATTAAAGACTTCAGATAAATGACCCCTCTCGCTATTTTATCTAAGTCAATGACCCTTATCTTTATTGACCCAGGGCTTATTTTTTTTAAGAATTTTTGTAATGGGTTAAGAGAATGATCATTTTCTTTGATTTCCGTCTGAGATCGCAAGGTCAAATTAAACGATGGGTTGGTCATTATCAACAGTAACTCATACCTTTTCTTTTTCTTAACATTAGTTTGACAACTCTTTGTCACTTAGTGGTGCATCTCATACAACCAACCTGACACTATTGCCCCAAGTACATAAGCTCGGCTGAGCCTTGCAACTTATGCACCCCGGTCAAGTACAAACCACCATCCTAAGTGTCTCTACACTCTAAGCACTCGTCTTACCAAAAGAAATAGTGGGATCGAACTGAGTTATAAAGTATCACCACATTGAAGAGATTCAATTTGTACCGACAGTGGGAGGCAATCATGCACTTGATAATTGTTCATATTTAAAGTTCATTTTACTTTTATTAGGGATTTACCAAGTCTCATCAAACACGCATATTGTACTATCATGCTAGTCGTTGCCCTATATCAAACATCTACAACATACTATATGAGTCGCTTTTACAGGATAAATGATTCATTTATTGCAGATAGTAAATGATGGTGGGGGCACTTAGAAAAAAATAAATAAATAAATTATAGATTTTGGTATGGGTATGTGGAAGGAGGTGTATTTTCTCCGATAATAAGATAAATACATCTCCCATTAAATATATATATAACATTGTTGAGATTATCTTTCTCATTATGCTCACAAGTTATCTAATAGGAGACAAAGTTATTTTTTTCATATAATATGTAATATAATTAAAATAAATAAAAGATTACTTCAGAATAATTTATTTCAAGTACCCCTTACTACCCTTGAGTAGACCCTAAAGATTTGTTTAATTTAAGGGAATGTTTTTTTTTAAAAATTTAATAATAATTTAAAAACATCACCTTCTTTTTATCATTCATTGTACAAATATCTAAAAACAATTAATAAAACAAAGAATATTTTCTTAAAAGGATTTATTAGTCTTATGTTACATAACAAAAACTTTATCTCCTACACACACAAATTCAAGATGGGTCTCACTTTACTTTTTATCTCCCTCCTCCTGAAAATGAACCCCACCTACATTAATGAGTCTGTAGGAGATAATTCCTACTGCATGAGAAAACTATTAACCTTTCTTAAACTAAAGTCATCCTTAATTTTCCTTTTATATCACCCTGCAAATTGATATAGTCAATATAGGTTGAAAATTTCATTTTTTTTTTCACTGACAAGATGAGAGGTGCCATACCGGGCCATTTCCCAAAATGAAAATAGAGAGAAACCCAAAAAAAAGCCCATAAAGGGAATGATGGGCACATTGCTCTTCAAAGTTGAAAGTTTATAAACCCATTAAACATTAAACAAGGGGACTTTAAGAATGGCACAAAGACAGAACTTGGATTAAACGCATTGCAAGCCCTATAGTTTTTTATTAGTGACTTATTCACATGGATGAGAACGGTGGCCCAGATTTGCAGGAGTTGTAGGAGGGTAAACGTAGCACGCACCGCTCTTTTTTATCTTTGGCGCTGAGATTAATAAAAAGGGAACTCTCACGAAATAAACACGACACAACTTGCTCTCTAACTGCATCACATTCACATTAGATCGAAATCCGACAAACCCTCTCTCTTCTTTATCTTCTCTGCATCGCCTTTCCCATTTGCCTCGGAGAATACTATGTTACCGACAACAACGACAACAACAACGTAAGTTCTTTTTTTACCCTACTTGCTTGTCGTTCTGTCTGTTTTGCCATTAATTAACATTCTTCTTTAATCTTCTCCAAGCTTGGCTAAATCATTTGTATGCAGTTTCTTCATACTTTTTTATTTTTGGGGGCGAGGTTTTTTTTTTTCTTTTCTTTAATGGGGTGGAGCAAAATGCTTAAATATTTTATCTTATTGGGGTTGTTGAGGAAGTAATATAGAAATAGACAATGAAAATCACTTCACATTCATCTTGGTATAATAAAAAATGCTGGAATGTTGAAAATGGAGTGCACCTCAATTGCTAATTAGGTGATTTGAGCTGCTTCCTTTGCTCCCTTCCCCAAATCTCTCTCACTTAACCTCTTGTTGGTTGTTACTTTGTTCATTATTATTTAGTTCAATTCAATCAACAATTTTCTATTTCGTGTATAGCTGCGGTATACTTAGAAAACATGATATCCAAAGCCACTAGGAGTTGGGTAGTGATGAAGGGCTCAGTAGTTTGCATGAGGTTATAGGTTTAGACCTCAGTGCCAAGCTGCACCTGGTGAGCTTTGTTCTTTACATTGTCATCTTTGGTTGGTGGCTCATTGTAAATGAATATTAATTGTATGAATGAAGATTTTGCCATGCTTTCAGCTGAGTATATTCATTTTAATGTCTTCTTTCCCACTCCCACATTTTCAACATGTATCGTGTAAAAGGTAAAGATGATTGATTGTTTTGTTTGTAGTTAATAGCCTTAGCTTCTGACTATGGTGGTGGATGCTGTGGTGGTGCATGTTTCCTCAGACCAATGACTAGTCCAACTGGAAATTTAACAAGCCATAACGACCGTACCGCTGAGAAGATGGGAACTGAACAATGTGAATTTTCTGAAAAAACACCTCGGTTAGGCTCTAAATGTTTAGACAGCGAACATAGGGTGCTTGATACTGTGTTAACCAGATCTGTTACTGATGAAAAATCAAATCAAGTTTCTTCCAATTCGACTGAGAATTCGGTTATTCTACTGCCTGAACCACCTCAACATGACTTGGAAAAAACACCTCAGATAGGTTCTGAATGTTTAGACAGTGAAGAAAGGGTGCTTGGTACCGTGTCAACCAGTTCGGTTACTGATGAAATATCAAATGAAGCTCCTGCCTATGCCACTGAGAATTCTGTTATTCTACTGCCTGCACCACCTCAACATAACCTAGAAAAAACACCTCAGATAGGCTCTGAATGTTTAGACAGTGAAGAAAGGGTGATCGGTAACGTGTTAACCAGTTCTGTTACTGATGAAAAATCAAATCAAGTTTCTGCCACTGTGACTGAGAATTCTGTTATTCTATTGCCTGCACCACCTCAACATGACTTAGACTGTCAGACTGTAGAAGGTTCATGCCTTCTACAAAGTACCTTTGAACCAGTTTCTGTTTGTTTGCCTGATGATAAATCAGAAAACAAATGTCAGTCATTCTCTCGAAATGTTCAAAATGAACCCTTAGAAATAAGTGATACAGTAACTAGCTTTGTTGTTGAGGACCAAACGCAATCCATTCCTGCCCAAGTGAACATGAGTTCCGTCAATGAACTATTGGATCCAGCTTCAGGAGATGTTGGAAAAAATATTAGTTCCAACAATTCAGAAAGAAAGTCTAAAAGCACAACTCATATGCAATTGAAGCACAAGAGTAAAAGAAACTCGAAATTATTGAAGAAGTATATGCTAAGGTCGTTAGGAACCAGTGATAGAGCTTTGCGATCAAGGACAAGAGAAAAACCTAAAGCACCTGAACCAAATAGTAATTTAGTTGATGTTAATAATGATGGAGTGAAGAGGGAAAGTGGGAGGAAGAAGAAAAAGAGAAGAGGGGAGGGAATTACTGATCAATTTTCTAGAATCAGAGCTCAGTTAAGGTATTTATTGAACCGAGTAAGCTATGAGCAAAGCTTGATCGATGCTTATTCTGGTGAGGGCTGGAAAGGATACAGGTGTGTAACTTGAACCATTACCTTCTGCTTTGGTTAGCTCTATATTTGGATTTGCATTGTGGTCTACATTAGATCTTAGCTTCTTTATTAATATCATTTCTATTTGTTAATTGCCGGAAAACTGAAATGGAACTACATCTGGAGTATTCTTGCTATTAGTGTTTCAGACTTGACCTTGTTTTCAGATTTCAGGATAAGATACCATATAAATTGCCTTTTGCATGTTGAATGACTGTAAGTCTGTAACTGTATGTGTTAGAAACTTAGAATACTAGGATTATTATTTGTGTTTGTAGTCTTATTATGTTATGAGTTTGAGTTCTGAAACAGTATGAAAAACGTGTTCGGAATGTAAACTAGAACTCTTTTCTATTGCATTTGGATAAAACAGATTAATGACATCTTAGGTATTTGGATATGACATTATATTCAGATTATATCAGATATTATTCTGATCATTAAATCCTTTCCTAAAATAAACATAAGAAAATTAATTTTATAAATACCTTATGTTCCCTATAATTGCCTGAAATTTCTGTCTAAAGAATGCATCAACCCATGCATGGATCTTCCTAGATTGACAAAAGTATATCATTTGAGTTTTATCTTACGTAAAAACACAATTACAAATGTTTATTACTAAATACAAGCTTGTAAAATTCGTATTTTATCTTTGATGCTCCATGTGCTTGGGAATCGTTTAATATGGCCCCTTTCTGTTTTCCCCTCTTAGCTTTCTATCACTTAATTTATTAGATGGTTTGATTTAGATTTGAGTCAGATCTAGTGCCACGAAATTGACTCAAAACAGAAGCTGTTCAGTACTGCCACAATCTTAATACAGGAACGGAGCTAGTAAATCAGTTGTTCCAAGCTTATCCTATGTGTGCTGCATCTTTATTTGCGTCGATGAACTAATTCTTTTTACTCTAATATTTTGGAGAGTATATACACACACATATACACACTTTAGTCCAAATGCAGTTTTCATTCCTCCATTTCTTATAGGAACAGAAGGACATTGAGTCCCTAAAGATGCAGAGAAGAGAATATATATATATATAGAGAGAGAGACAGAGAGAGAGGAATTCTCTATCATTGATGTATCTTGAATATCATAAGGGTTCTTCTTTTTTTTTTTACCCCCCTTTTATTTTTACTTATATATTTATATATATATCATTGTTATTATTATTATTTTTTTTTTATCCCTTCGTACCTTTCATTTTGGGTTCATCTACCACCGACCCCAATTAGTTTGGGATAAAGGTGGTGTTGATGTTGATGTATCTTGAATCAAGGGGAGTGATCTTCTACAAGGGAATTTTCCTTTTACAACTGAACAATGTGCCAGGTTACAAATTGTTCCAAAAGATGCCCCACCTATACAATTTCTGCTATTTATCTCACTAACGAACTGCCATCCTAACTGACTAATTGTCTTCCTGACTAACCTGACAGCTTCTCTAATTGTTTATAGGATACACTCTCCACACCCTTCCTCCATCACTTTGAGTCTCGCCCCTAACAATTTAAGTACTTTTTTTGTGATCCTATCATTTCCTTTTGTCGCACATTCATTTTGAGCATCGTCTTTTTTTAGAGCTGATGAATTCCATGATATTAGATCATTCTGTCATTTTTGTTGTAGTCTTTGCTAGGAATTCATTTACTCATGTTTTCTTGTGAAGCTGAGAAGCACCCTATAGTTAATAGTGTACTACTATAAAAGTCTCATCATGGTTTTGTGAACCTTCAAATGCCCTGAGCTTGTTTTCATTTTTACTTGTTTATGAGGTGGATAATTTGTGTCTATTTGTTTGATTGCTATAACGTTGCAGTATGGAAAAATTAAAGCCTGAAAAGGAGCTTCAACGGGCTAGGTCTGAAATACTTCGGCGTAAATTGAAAATCAGGGATTTATTTCAAAATTTGGATTCATTGTGTGCCGAAGGAAGGCTTCCTGATTCTTTGTTTGACTCTGAGGGAGAGATTGACAGTGAGGATGTCGGTTAATCCTTTTATATTTCATTCCTAAATGAAATTTTCTCCAGCATTTTGGAGTTGTGAATGCTAGCTTTAAATTTATGGTGCAGATTTTCTGTGCAAAATGCCAGTCCAAAGAGTCGGGCACCAATAATGATATAATTCTCTGTGATGGTGCTTGTGATCGTGGATTTCACCAGCTCTGTTTGGATCCTCCATTGCTAACTGAAGACAGTAATGTCTCATCTACCTAATTCATTGGTCGCTTTGTGCTTCCAAGTTATCTATCATTTATGTATTTACTTCTGTTTCTACAGTTCCACCTGGCGATGAGGGTTGGCTATGCCCAGGATGTGATTGCAAAGATGACTGCATCGAACTCGTTAATGACTCCTTAGGAACAAGTCTCTCTCTTAGTGACACCTGGAAGGTCAGTGAGCAAATTTAGTCTCGTTGTCATTACTTAATGAATCATTAACTTTTTGGATCTTTCCTATCCTGATCACGTGACTTATTCTTGTTCAGAGGCTTTTTCCTGAAGCAGCTGCTGCTGCTAGAAACAATATTGATAACATGGGACTTCCTTCTGACGATTCGGATGATGATGATTATAATCCTAATGCTCCAGAAGATGTGGAGGTTGAAGGAGGTGAGCCAAGTTCTGATGAATCTGAGTATGCTTCTGCTTCTGAGAAATTGGAGGATTCACGCCATGAGGATCAATACTTGGGCCTTCCTTCAGAAGATTCCGAGGATGATGATTTTGATCCTAATGGTCCAGATCCTGACAGTAGAGTCATGGATGAAAGTTCAAGCTCTGATTTCACATCTGACTCTGAAGATCTTGCTGCTGCAATTGAGGATAACATGTCCCCTGGAGGACAGGATGAAGATATCATATCTGCATCATTGGATGATATTAAGAACTTTAAAGGTTCTAGCGGACAAAAGTGTAAAGTTGGTAGGAAGCCATCTATAGTGGATGAACTGTCATCTTTACTAGAGCCAGATCCTGGCCAAGAGGGCTCCACTCCTGTTTCTGGGAAAAGACAAGTGGATAGGTTGGACTACAAAAAGCTGTATGACGTAAGTTCCTTTCCATGGTATAAGATTTAAAATACTATTCTTGTTATCAAAAATAAAATAAAAAAATACTATTCTATGGTTCTACATGCATGGTCTGCCTTTCTTATTTGAAAATAGGGTATACATTACACAACTTGACACATGATACATAATGCTTGCATGCTCTCACGTGTGTCATTTGAAATAGAGTCAAAGTTATTTAGTGTACCATTTTTGGCTTTATTCCTCTCCCAATATTTTAGGCAGCTATGTTCCTTTTGTAGGATCCCCAATTAACTTGGGTTAAAGGTGTTGTTGATGTTGATGTTGATGTTCCTTTTGTAGGAAACATACCAAAGTGATACTAGTGATGATGAAGATTGGACTGCCACTGCTAGTCCAAGTAGAAAAAGGACACTCACTGGTAAAGTGACTCCAGTGTCACCAAATGGAAATGCCTCAAATAATTCTGTACATACTCCTAGGAGGAATACCCATCAGAACAAAGTTGAAAATACAAACAATTCACCCCCTAAATCACTTGAAGGCCCTGGGAAATCTGGTTCCAGCGATAAAAAGCCTGGGTCTTCAGCATACAAAAGACTTGGAGAAGCTGTAGTTCAGGTAATGGTGAATTATCTTCTAAATTTGGTTTGTAAATTTATTTTCTCTTCAGAAAATCTTTCAACTGAGTTTCTATTTGCATACATATCCCTGGCATTGTCTTCCAATTAAATCGTGTCCTCCATCAAAATTGAAGTGCAAAAAATAATTTTTTTTGGGGTCAGGGGGGTATCTTTTTGGTAGACAACTTAGAGTTTACTAGGTAGAAGATCCAGAATTTGCCTGAAATATGGAAAATATATTGGAATACATTGATAAAAAAAAATTGTTTGTCTGATGATACCTGGTCCTTTTATGGGAATGCTAGTTGTTGAGATATATAAAACCATTAATGTAGCCTCACCCAACAGCTTAAGCTTTTGGGTTGAATTGGTTCTTTACATGGTATCAGAGCCTCGTGTCCCGGGTTCGATCCTCATTGCCCCCCACTTTCTTTTTAGTGGAATTTCTTTCTTCGCACAGGTAGGTGGGCCTGTGCATTGTCCACTCTTCAAGCCCAGTGGGCTCTCGTGTGAGGGGGCGTGTTGAGATATATAAAACCATTAATGTAGCCTCACCCAACAGCTTAAGCTTTTGGGTTGAATTGATTCTTTACACTAGTTATCATCCCCGGTGCAATACACAGATTTGTGATTCATTTATTGGTTTATATATTTATTATTATTCATTAATTTTTTAAAAAATAATAATATTAGACTTGCTTATGTCATCTAAGATCATATACATATAAATAAGAAAGCACTAAAATTTGTTTCAAAAAAGTGTGCTGAAATTTGTTTTGCATAAAGTTCTGTTAATAAATTATAGTTTTTTAAAATATTTTTGATTGTATGATAGCCGCGTTTTTATATATTTTTGAAGATCATATAAGGTAATAAACTATTAATTCGCTAAAAAGAGAAGTTAGGTTATGAGAATGGTAAAATAAAAAAAGGATAGACTAAATTACCAAAAAAGAGAGAGAGGATAGACCAGTGTTATAAAACTACCTCTAAGCTCAGAGTATAGGGAAGGCTCTATAGTAGGCAGCCTTATCTTGCATTCGCAAAAGGCTGAGTACATGAATCAAACTTGGGACCTTTAGGTTATGTGGCATCAACACCAATTATTGTGCCAGGGTTCTCCTTCATTATGAGAATAGTAATTTCATCTAAATTGGGTTAGTCTTTAAAGTAAATATTTTGAAATAATTGTTAGAATAGTTGTAAAAATAGTTCAGTATATATATAGTCCCACATCGTATGAGCTCAACCTATTAGTTCTTTTAGTCTCTTTAAATAGAGAGCTCTTGTACATTGTAATACACTATGATTATTCAATATACAATTATTCTTTAATCTCAAGTTGGTATCAGAGCTCTTTAGCTCTGGGGATCCGCTTCCGCTAAAACCCTAAGCCCACTGCTTAGGTGTTCTCTTCTACTTTGCCGTGCATTCTTCCGGCGAGTTTTTTCTCTAAGCCGTGTGTCTCTCCGGCTTGTTTCTTCAACTGTCAGAACCACTTCCCGCCGCCAACAACTGCCGCTCGTCACTGTTCAGGCCACCGGAGCACTGTTCCGGCGAGGTTTTAGCCCAGACTACCTGCGATCAGGACCGTCTCATCCCGGTGACCAGTTCTGTGGTGGCCTGACCACCGTCGCGTCAGCCACGCGCCTCCACGCGCCGTTCTTCTCCTCTGCGCGTGGTGCTCACGCGCCACCTTCAACCGGCGCGTGTGCACTGTTCCGGTGGAGTTTCCCGGCCGTTCTTGGACAGAACTTCTCATCTTCTTCTCCTCTTTCCGGATCTGTGCTTGGTTCTTTGTGGGTCTCACTTTAGACGCGTGGTTCTCCTTGATTGGATATCGTTTGCCTTCGTTTACGGCTTTTATATTCTGTCTTTAAATGGCAGCAGCGTCCCCTGATCTCTCGGAGGTTAACTCTCCTTGTCCTCCTGTCAAAACTTCCTCAGGAATCATCTCTACTAATATTGGGCCCATTACATCTTCCAAACTGAAGGATTCTATCTCTCTTGCTGCGAATATAGCTCAGTCAGACAATGCATCATTTGGTTCAGTTTCTCTCTCACTTGCGGATTATGCTGCACTCCAAACTCTTCTCAAGAAGGCTTCTCCTCAGTCTCAACCATATACTGGTAATCTCGTTGCTTGTGTTTCTCATTCTACATCACTTGGCACTTGGATATTTGACTCAGGTGCTACCGATCATCTCTGTGGTAATACGGAACTCTTTACATCTCTTACTTATTCTGATCATTTACCTTCTTTTACCCTCGCGGATGGAACCAAAGCCCCAGTTCGTGGGATTGGACAAGCTCGTCCGACCTCTACCTTAGCCTTGACATCTGTTTATTACATTTCTGGCATCCCTTATAACTTAATTTCTATTAGTAAGTTGATCCACTCCCTCACTTGCACCATTACTTTCTCTAACCATTCTGTTTCTGTGCAGGATCCGGGTACGGGGAAAATGATTGGAGTGGGTCGTGAGTCACAGGGGCTTTATTATCTGGATGTGCCTCGTCCTTCAGTGGCACTCTCTCACAGAGAATCTCCACAACTTATCCACAGTCGCCTCGGTCATCCAAGTATTTCAAAGTTGCAGAAAATGGTTCCTCTTTTATCCGGTCTTCAGTCTTTAGATTGTGTGTCATGTCAACAAGGGAAGCATACACGATCTTCTTTTGCCAGTCGAGTCAATAAACGAGCTGATGCCCCTTTCTCTCTTGTTCATTCAGATATCTGGGGTCCAAGTCGTACCTTGTCTGTTTTAGGTTTTCGGTATTTCGTTACCTTTATTGATGATTTTTCCCATTGCACTTGGGTCTATTTAATGAAAAATCGTTCTGAGTTATTTTCCATTTATAAAAAAGTTTTATACTGAGATTCATACTCAATTTGGTGTTTCTATTCGTATTCTACGTAGTGATAATGCTAAGGAATATGTTTCTATTGATTTTTCTAATTTCTTGGCCACACAAGGTACTTTACATCAAACTACTTGTCCTCACACTCCACAACAAAATGGGGTGGCTGAACGTAAAATTAGACATCTCATTGAAACTGCACGTACCCTTCTTCTTCATATGCAGGTTCCCCTTCACTTCTGGGCAGATGCTGTACTAATCTCTTGTTTTCTCATCAATCGCATGCCCTCATCTGTGCTCAACAATGACATTCCTCATAACCTATTGCTTCCAGATGTTCCTCTTTATCCTCTAACTCCACATGTCTTTGGTTGTACTTGTTTTGTTCATGATCTCACTCCTGGTAAGGATAAGTTAACATCCAAAGCCTTTCAGTGTATCTTTCTTGGTTATTCTCGTCTTCAAAAGGGTTATCGTTGTTATTCTCCCGATCTTAAGCGTTACTTAGTTTCCGCTGATGTCACTTTTCTTGATCAACAACCCTTTTATTCTATCCCATCTCAGTTGTCACAGGTTGATCATGTTCTTCCTGTCCCTTTTCTTGACTTGTCTTTGCCAGCTGCAGGTGCTTCTATTCCAGATGAGCAACCTATTGCTTCTATACCTGAGAACCGTCCACTTCTCACCTATCAGCGTCACAAAACTGTGCCTCCTGTCGACTCAACTCTTGCTGACTCATCGCCCACTGTTGTTGCTTCTTCTCCTCCGGATCCTTCACCAGAGGCTCTTCCCATTGCTCAAAGAAAAGGTACACGTACTACTCGTAACCCTTATCCTCTTTATACTTTTTTGAGCTATGGCCGTCTTTCTTCACCTCATTTCACCTTTGTTTCTAGTCTTTCTTCTATTTCTATTCCTAAGACCACAGGTGAAGCACTTTCCCATCCAGGGTGGCGCCAAGCGATGCTTGATGAGATGACTGCACTTCATTCCAATGACACTTGGGACCTTGTTTCTGCTCCTCCAGAGAAGTCTACAGTTGGTTGTCGCTGGGTGTTTAGTGTGAAAGTTGGATCTGATGGCCATGTTGATCGACTCAAGGCCTGCCTAATTGCAAAGGGTTTTACTCAAATATTCGGCCTTGATTATAGCGATACATTCTCTCCGGTCGCTAAGATGGCGTCAGTTCGCCTATTTCTTGCTCTTGCTGCTATTCGTCACTGGCCACTCCTTCAACTTGACATCAAAAATGCCTTTCTTCATGGTGATTTACAAGAAGAAGTTTATATGGAGCAACCACCAGGTTTTGTTGCTCAGGGGGAGTCTGTGAAGGTGTGTCGTCTTCGCAAATCCTTATATGGTCTCAAGCAGTCTCCTCGGGCATGGTTCAGTCGCTTCAGTTCTGTTGTTTAGGAGTTTGGCTTAATTCGCAGTAAAGTTGACCACTCTGTGTTTTATAGGATCACATCTCCTGATAAGTGCATCTATTTGTTAGTCTATGTTGATGACATCATCCTCACCGGGAGTGATCAAGCTGGAATTCGTCAGTTAAAACAGTATTTATTCAGTCAATTTCAGACAAAGGACCTCGGGAAGCTGCGTTACTTCTTGGGAATTGAGGTAGCACAATCTAGACAGGGCATTTCTATCTGTCAAAGGAAATATGCCTTGGATATCCTAGAAGAGACTGGTATGTTGGCGTGTAAGCCAGTTGACACACCCATGGATCCTACTATCAAATTACTACCCGGACAAGGAGAACCAATATCTGATCCTGGACGTTATCGGAGGTTGATTGGGAAACTCAATTATCTCACTGTGACTAGGCCGGACATTTCTTTTGCTGTTAGTGTCGCTAGTCAGTTTCTTGATTCTCCGTGTGATTCTCATTGGGATGCTGCTGTTAGGATCCTTCGTTACATCAAAGGAGCACCAGGGAAAGGTTTATTATATTCAGATCAGGGAAATACAGAAATTTGTGGTTATTCAGATGCTGATTGGGCAGGATCACCCTCGGATAGGCGCTCTACTTCAGGCTATTGTGTTTTCTTTGGAGGAAACCTGATTTCTTGGAAAAGTAAGAAACAAACTGTTGTTGCCCGATCTAGTGCAGAGGCCGAGTATCGTGCAATGGGAGTTGCTACCTGCGAGCTAATCTGGTTAAAGCAGTTGATTCGGGAGCTCCATCTTTGTGAACAGAAGAAACCCATGACTCTCATTTGTGACAATCAAGCTGCACTACATATATCCTCTAATCCTGTATTTCATGAGAGAACCAAACATATAGAGATCGATTGTCATTTCATTCGAGAAAAGATTCAGTCAGGAGAAATCAAAACGGAATTTGTCAACTCCAATGATCAACTCGCGGATGTCTTCACTAAAGCTCTTAGGGGTCCTCGGGTTGAATATATTTGTGGCAAGCTGGGTGCTTACAATATATATGCTCCAGCTTGAGGGGGAGTGTTAGAATAGTTGTAAAAATAGTTCAGTATATATATAGTCCCACATCGTATGAGCTCAACCTATTAGGTCTTTTAGTCTCTTTAAATAGAGAGCTCTTGTACATTGTAATACACTATGATTATTCAATATACAATTATTCTTTAATCTCAAGTATAATGAAGGGTAATTTGATTTTGAACCACTAATGGTATTGATTGAACTGAAGTTTCATCTGAATTGAGTTAGTATTCAACATACTCATCTTCAAATCATAAGAGGAGGAAAGTATGCTAAAATCTTGAATTTTAACCAATGAGGGTTGGCATACTTGGTCGAACCTTTTGCCTGTACTCTTTGGTTCGATTCTCAGGTTTCCTTTCCCTTTTTAGTAGGTGATATGTAATCTCACCCTAAATCCTCATAGAGGTCGGCGGTATTCTCTGGCCGTACAAGGGAGGATGCTTTCCCCTAATCTAACTATTAAAAAAATCTTGAATTTTAGTAATGACATTTATTGAGACTGAACCCAATTTTAGATGGATTTGAATTTGACTAGAAAGTAAACAATTTTCTAGATTCCTGACCCACATATTTAGCATCCTAATGGCCAATGAGATTTTGATTCTACACCATCGTCTGTTAACTACCTCAAATAAAATTCATAAAATAATTCTTGCAAAAATTTAAGTAAAATAATAAAAATTTAGTATTTCCAATTGTCTAGTCATATTCCCTCTAATTATTTATATTTATAATTTCCTAGAATTCTCTTAATCAAGCTGTGCTTTTTTTAAATAAGTAAAATTCTATTTTAATCATTCTAATTATTTATTCTCACAATTTTCTCCACAGTATTGGAACCTACTCTTATTTAAACGTATGTTTTGAAGTTTTATTTATATCTTAGATAATATGATATTTTTACAAAACAATGTTTTATTTAATTAACTTACTTGAAAAATATACCTCATAAATAAAAAATAATTTCAACTTGTATATTATTACTAGTCCTAGTCGTATAGTGGATTGACTCAAATATTAAAAAAAATATGCTTCATCTTAAGTTCTTATCAATGTAAATATTAATTTATCTTGTTTAAATTTCATAAACAAATAGAATATAGATGGGTAAGTTTTTTTATTAGATTCTCAAAATGTATACTTTTTGTGGATGATCCGATGATATAGTCCTAGTTAAAGAGGCTGGAGGAGCATTTACCAAAAAAAAAAAAAGAGGCTGGAGGAGTGGTAAATTCAACATCTTTTAAGTTGTGGAGAGGCTTTGGAATCCAAGGATTTTTGGTTAAGTAGGAGTATGACAGTGTATATGGAATGCAAAACCACTGAGATAAGAGTTAGAATGTTGCATGAGTTGCAAGGTTTAAGCATTTTGGGTTCATCTTATAAAGTGACTGGGATGAAACACTTACACGAGATTCAAGCTGGGTGGATGAAATAGATAAATGTTTTTGGTGTAACTTCAAGGAATATTTTACCGAACAATTTTAGAATTACCCATGTTCTATGGTAGTTAATGTTGGGAAATGAGGTGCCAACAAGAGCAAAAAGATAGTTTTAATGAAGATGAGAATGCTGAGGTGGATAAGTAAACATACAAGAGAAGTTAATAGAAGGCACAAATCTATTTTAGAGAAACTTGGAGTAGCACCTATTGAAAAGAAGATCACAGGAACTGGCCCAAGCTGGTTCAGTCATGGGAGAAGACCAATGGAGGCTCTAGTGAGAAAAGTGGTTCAAATGGAAAATAGTCTGATTACAAAGGTAGAGGATGACCTATTAAAACATTGGGAGAAACCATTGAAAAAGATCTGGCACTAAATGGTTTTCTTGAAAATTTGATTTTTAATAGAGTTAAATGGTATTGATTAATTGATGTGGTTTTGACCGTTTCTAGTGGGATAATTGCATGCATTTTTTTATTTTTTATTTCAAGGCGCCAGACTCTAAAAAATTTGTTTGACGAAATCATTTCTTGGACTTCTTAGAAATGTAAAAATATTTAAATTAATGAGTGTGTGATTATACGTTAAATATTTACAAAATAAGAACTTTACTATTTATAAATTGGTGAAAGGAATGTGGTAAGTATAAGTATAAGTAGTTCGAGACTGAGAGAAACATGAATACACAATTGGGAGTGTCAATAGTCATATCCAAAATTCAAACAAGATTACAAGCAGCTGCATTTGTGCTGCATCGAGCCATCATCCACCTTCTGGATGCCTTAACATGCTTGTCTCGGTATATAGTCAATTGACTTACAGATTGCATAGCAGCTTATGTTGTTCATTTGATGCATATATACTTTTGTGTCTTGCCATTCAAGAGCAGGCTAACACATAGGCGCACATTTGCATGCATGTTAAGGTAAAAGCTTTAACTTAGAGTGACTATTCTTGTATTTTCAGAGACTTTACAAATCTTTTAAAGAAAATCAGTATCCAGATCGAACCACAAAAGAAAGCTTGGCACAAGAACTCGGACTCACTTATCAGCAGGTCATATCTTTTAGCATTGCTCTTGCATTTAGCTTTATCTTGTGATCTTCTGAATTTACCATTCTTTTTCGCCTTCAGGTTACCAAATGGTTTGACAATACTCGTTGGAGCTTCCGGCATTCATCACAGAGGGAAACCGTTCCAGGTAGAAATGCTTCGCAGCAGGCCACAAACAGCATAGCTGAAAATAAGGGGGAGTGGGAATGGGAAGTAGTGTCCCAGGAGGTCAGTGGAGAAAAACCAAAAACCTCAAGCTCTGGAAAAAGAAAGCATTTGTCCGAACCCCAGGCATCTGAAGCAGGGCTGGTTGTTGATGACGCTGCAACGATGTCTCCTGCTTGCTCATCAAAAACTCATGAAATGCAAATAGGCAATAAAATAAAGACAAGGAAAAGGAAATAACTCAAGCTTGATCTTTTCCTAAGGCAGCAAAATTAAAGTGTCCATCCTTTTGTGAGATTGAGATCCTCTGAGATGATCAGCTTGGATCTCGATGGATTTGTTTCCATTCAGGAAGGTAATCTCAAAATGTGTTCCATTGTTTGTATTGTTAACAAAATTAACTTTCTAGATATTCATCTCGGTTGAGTTAGTTTTAGCGTTGCCCCTCACTCAAACACTCAGAATAGTTGTCAGTTACTAGTTCTAGAATTTTTTCTTTTATATTTATTTTTTTCCATTTAGAGAGACCTCATTCCTTCCTCCAAATGGTGTTCTTCCTTAACAATACAAAAAGCAAAAAACAGATGAATATAGGGGAACAATTTATTTTTGTACCTCAGGATTTAATGTCATCATTGTATTAACCTGCAGGCAGCCCTAGTAAATGTTGCAGCTAATGTGTTTGATTTGCTTCATAAACATGCAGCGTTCATCTTGCAGTGGTAGTAACTTGGTAGTTTGACATTCAGGATGTTCCTCCACTTTTTGAAAGATTTTTTTTTTCCATATGTTATGGAAAATAAATATTATGGAACTCTGATCTGAGGAACAGATTGGAATTGGAGCATCAGATACATATGTTCTTAAGTGCCACATGCTTATGATTATAAGGTTTAGAATATGCTATTTACCTGTCCAAAAATGCCTTATGAGAACTCGCATTCACGGTGATTAACTTAATGACTTTTTTTGTTTCTCGACCATATGTGGGAGTGTGCAAAAGTGAAATGGAAATAAATCACAGCATCAAGGGACACGTAGGAGTGTTGACTCAACTGTAAGATAGGATTGTGTTGATTCAAATTCGAAGATCTAGGTTCTGTTCATGTTGATACTCTTTGTTGGTGAGTCCGGTGTGTTTGGGCTTGTTCTAGTCTTGGAAATGAGGAATGATGCAACCTTAAAAAGAGGTAGTAGTATGACGAGAGTGTTAGCAAGAGTTAAACTTGTGTCTTCTGGGTGACTCCAGTTCAAATACAATGTGTTTTGCTGCATAAGGGATAGCAATGTGTTTTACTAGTTGGAGTGTAATATCCGGTTGTTTAAAGGATCAATAACTGTTCTCATAAATCAATACGAAAATTTTTAGTGTGATTTGTATTCATTCACACACTTCTTACTTGACTCTAGAATCTAGACTGGTGGTAAAGCTCGGCCCACGTGCCAAAGGAATATCTACAGCTCGACCCACGTGCCAAAGGATTATCTACCTCCCGCCTTGGTCAACACTCAGGATGTTACATGTCCACTTCTCAGTGTGGTTTGTCCTAAATCACTCTTTCTACTATTGGACTTCAGAATCTGGATTAGTGGTACAACTTGGCTCATGTGCCAAAGGAATATCTACTCCCCACCTTCGTCAGTGTCCAAGATGCTACATGCCAAAGGAATATCAAACCACACTGTACTGGGAGAGAGGCCCTGTTCTGATACCACTTGCAGGATCAATGATTGTTTCCACAAACCAATACGAGACTTTTCAGCATACTTTGTCCATATTCACACACTTCTTGAGAAACTTCTCATGAGGTCATCCACCTCATAATTGCTTCAAGTCAAGGACGCTCAACTATGGAGCTCTTAAGTTATGAGCTACTGAAAAGTAAATGCATCTTGTTAGTATAGGTAGTAAATATTAATTTCTTTACAATCTTATACCTACATATCCTCTCGATTAAGGGTGTTAACGAGTCGAACCGAGCTTTGTTCTTAAAAGGCCAAGCCTGTATTTAAATGGGTCAGCCTGATCAAGCCTGTTACCTATTATAAATATAATTATTGGCCTGTGACCTGTCTTATTTATATAAAAAAAAGCCTGATTTAGCCTGTTAGTCTGTTTAAAAGAATAAGACAATAAAAATTTATCCAAACATAATATATAATCAATAACACTAGTAATTCCAAAAATATTCATAAATTTAAGGTATATCCAAACAGCATATTATAGAATAAAATCATTCAAAAACTCTGTTTAACCAATAAAATGGATTGAGGAGAAAGAAAGGGTTATTACAAGTAGTATAAAAAATAAAAAATAATAATATACTAGGTCGGCCTGAGAGGATCTAAGGCCGAACTTTTGAATTGGAGCCTGAGGCCTTTTTATTAAACGAGCTTTTATACAAGTTCAAGTCTGGTGCCAACAACCAATTTTAGACACGTAAGCTCAGGCCTTCAAGAGCCGAGCCAAAGGTCCCTGAAAGGCTCCTGGTTCGTTTAGCACCCCTACTCTCGATCTCTCTCGTTTAGGTATTAATTCGATTCATTCATGTACCCCTACTATTAAAAGTTTGTCAAGAGCTTTCTTTTACTGTCACAACCCCTCTCGCCTTAACAACCCAAACGTGCAAACTTTTTCCTTTTTTTTTAATTTATTAAAGTGGTGGGTCCCACAAAATTTTGTGTCCGTAGGAACTCCACCTCTCCTCCTGCAACATGACCATGACCATGACCAATCGAATCTCCTTTTTTTGGCTTTGTTTATGCTTGGTAGAAAAGTTGATAAATGGGAAGGTTGAAAAAAGAAAGAGAATCACATAGAAAAGCAACAAAATTCTTACGTCAAATTTGTATATTGAAAGAATGAAAATGAGTTAAAATCGAAAATGTTTCGTTTTCTAATAAATAGAATTTTATTTCACTCTATTTTATTTTGACTTATATTTATTGCATATAATTATCAAGTAATATACTTGAATAAATTAAATACGGAAACGAATTGTAATAAATAGTAAATGAAATTATTATTTTATTTTATTTTCTTGTCAAGCTCAAAAAATTCCATTTATGGTAAATAGATGCAGTAATTAAATCACAAAGTTTTAAAACAGAACCAAATTATGATAATTATATATTTTTTTGGTTTAACATTTTTTTATGGGTTAGAGCCTTAGAGGTTATTTTATTTCAAGATAAGACATAACAAAAGCTTCAACAAGAACTTACATGTAATAATAATTTCCGACTCTATCAATTAAGCTAAAACTCAATAGGAAGATTTATTTATGTAGTTAATTTTGAATTAATTTTCACAAGTTTTTGGTAAATATAAATATAAATAATAACCATTTATTTTACCTTTTATAGGCTTGTAAACAGAGATGGGTAAAGATGTGAAATAAACAAGCCCGATTCGCATAACGTAATGAGCGATTCACATATCCAGTGCCTGACCCGAAGGGTCCATGTCCAACAACCAAATTGCTTAAGACCGAGTCTCACTCGACAGTCACTGAGTCAGTTGAAACTCGAAGGAAGCGATGATGGAATTACAAGTTGACGAGAACGACTTGAAAGCCGCCGGCGCTGAGCTTTTCGCCGACGGTGGCCGGCAAGGCATTCGCATCCATGGCTGGCTGATCGAGTCTCGGAGGCACTCCATACTGAAATCTTCCACCCTCCAAGAGTGAGTAATTCTTGCATCACGCTTAACCCTAGCTCCTGAAATTTCAAATTTTCGGAACCACTGCCTTAACCGTGCGTTTGGTTTGATAGTTAAAAAGAAAAAGAAAAAAAGCAAATCATTTTATTTGGTTGTTATTGATTTGTTTTGTTGGAAGAAAAATCAGAGCATTTTGTTTTGATGATGGATGTGGCTTGCAGGTGGGAGCAGAAACTTGAGACGTCTCATTTACCAGAAATGGTTTTTGGGGAAAATACTTTAATTCTAAAACACTTGAGTAGTGGCACCAAAATTCATTTTAATGCATTCGATGCTTTATGTGGCTGGAAACAGGAGGCCTTGCCTCCTGTTGAAGTTCCTGCAGCGGCTAAATGGAAATTTAGAAGGTAAGATTGGGGCATTTGGTTTTCATGTTTTCTGCCTGATTACAAATATGCTTAGCTCAAAATTCTTTTTATCATTGTATTCTGATATGCTTGCTTAGATCCATTTCCTATCTTTTTATTCTTGGAAATTTTTATCTGGTATCAAAGTGCCGGGTAGTTGCTCGAGGCATTGTGCCATCTACCCTCCCTATTGAATACGGTATAAATGAAAGTGTGAAAGTTTTCTTACGAGCATGTTGTTTTATTGATAGCTCTGTTTGTTGTTGGTCTCACATTCTTTTGGGAAAAAAATTGTGCAGCAAGCCCTCTCAGCAAGTAATACTAGATTATGACTATACATTTACAACACCTTATTGTGGAAGTGGCATTATTGAGACTGATAATGATCTGGTATGCAGTCCTTCTTTCTTCTCCTGTCATCCTGAATGCCATTTTTCTTTTATTTGAGTTACTTGTACATTATTTTTTTTATTTTATTTTTTTGTGGTATGAGTTTTTGCTGATACAATATTTTGTTAATAACCCACAGCTGTATATGCTTTTGTTAGAAGAAAATCAGGATATCGCGTTAGTTTTATTATTCGTGCTGTTACTCAAGATATTTGATTTTTGTGTGGTAGATTGGGAGAGAAATTTCTGAGGAAAACAGAAATATCCATTGGGAAGACTGCAAGGAACAAATTGATGTAGTTGCATTGGCATCCAAAGAGCCCATACTTTTCTATGATGAGGTGGGTAGTAAGTACCTTAAAGGGTTACTTAGCAAACCTCTATGTGCAGAACTGCTTTTACAGACAAATCTTTCTGTGGGTAAAGCAATTTCTCGTTTGTATTGTTAATAAAAAATGTGCTCAAGTGAAAGAAAGAAAAAGCACATAACCAAGTAAAGACCCCATCAGTTCTTTGCCGTTGTGCTCCAATTTTAGAAATTTATCATGCTGTTAATCTGCACACACAGTGAAATAGTTTAGTGAAATCTGCTGTATATAAATGATATTCCTGAAACAAATTAGAGGTGTTCATGTTTCCTTGTCTGAGTGTCTAAGCTGTAGTAAATTGTCCGTATTCTCTTCCTTGCTGGCATTAACTTGAAATGAATCCTCATCATGAACAGGTGGTCTTATACGAGGATGAACTTGCTGATAATGGAGTATCACTTCTTACTGTAAAAGTGGTAATCCCTAATTTGGTTTCTTTTGTTGATATGCAAAATAATATGATTGCCAATGACTGTTGATGTCACTTTCTGGTTTGTAGAGAGTCATGCCAAGTTCTTGGTTTCTTCTCTTGCGATTCTGGGTGAGTACCCCCTCTTCATATACTAAATTAGTAATTTTCTTCATAAAGTCTTTTGAGTGAAGCTACACATAGTGGATTAGTTATTTCATTATTATTATTCTTATGGTTGATCTCATAAATCATGCCGATCATATTAGACACTGAAGTTATTGCTAAGGATCTATTATACTCCTGAGAAACTTGGATATTAGTGTCATTGTGTTAGTCAGCACATTTACTTGCTTCACACCAGTTCCACTAACCTTGTAATTTTACTGGTTGATCTGGTACTATTAAAGCTTAGAGTTGATGGAGTGTTGATTCGACTGAGAGAAACTCGTATGCATTGTGTATTTGGTGGAAGCACAACTCCTATTATACTTCGAGAGAGTTGCTGGAGAGAGTCTACATTTCAAGATTTGTCTGCGGTAAGTTTGTGCTTTGCATCATATGCTATGTTCCTTACATTAATTCCGAATGGTACTTTCATTTGTTTTTGTTGACACTGTAAAGAAAGATATTGGGTGGATGCTTGTTTACTGCTCTCTATGCTCAGCTAGTCTATAGTAAAGATTTTAGGCATTATTTTGAAACAACTTGTATTATGCGTATTTCTCTTTTTGCTATATAATATCTTGAATGAAGTCAGTGCTATTGTAGTTTCTGGGTTAGCATTACTGAAGTTTCTTCTATCTCTGATGTTCTAATACACATATCAATCATAGGTAACAGGAATAGTCTAGACTTATTTTTGTAAGAGAACTGTTAGTTTTTGTTAGAGAATAATATAAACTATTAAAAAATTGAGCCTATGCCATATCACGCTTCTAGTCCAAAAGGTTTTTGCGTGAGGGTGTGACTTAGAGAATAATATAAATCATTAAAAAGGCCCTCACCCAACAATTTAAGTTTTTGGGTTGAATTGGTTCTTTACAGTTTTCATTGGGCTTCTGATGAAATACATATGCCTTAAATAATATCTTAGAAATCTAACTTTCGGTTGCCGAGATCTTGTTGGCATGATAACTAGCTGAATACTTGAATAGATTATTCTGAAAGATTTGTTGAACATCTCACTTTTGATCACCGAGAGTTTGCTTGTGTAAAAATGCCATAAATAGTTAGTTGAGCATGAGAGAGAGCATTCCTGTGGAGGTACTGTATCAAGGACAAGCTACTTTGAGTCAAGAAGGGAATGGAATGAAGATGCAAAATTGTTTTCTCGTATTATTTGGTTTAATTAAATAGATAACAAATGGTTTATAACTTCCGTTAGTGGGTAACTAACAGAAGAGAAACGTCAATCTTATAAAATCGGCATTTTTTCCTCTATAAAAAACAGAAAAATTAGAAAATGTAGGCCCACACAAACAGTCATATTTTCTTGTTTATTATCTACTCAGTCCCCACTCATTTGGACAGATTAGAAACCGGGCTATTTTATTGCTTTTTCTCCAAATCTCTTCATTTATCTGGTCCATTTTGTTATTAAATAGAAGGAAGGACAAGGCTCCTCTAAAGTGAGCAAGTAAGAGTGTATCTACCATTGATTTAATTTAAAATACATTCTGACCTAACCCACTAAAAGTTGAGGTTGAATAGACTTAATACTTACTCACTTTAGAGGAAGTTATTCCCATATGGAAACATGTAACCTCTCAATTATGTTTATTTTTTACTTTAAAATCTGTCCACCTCAAAAAAAGTGTCAGTATTTAAGCCTTATGACAATGACAGACAGCTAAATGACTGGGGGTGGTGATAGACTCAGATTATACTAGTTTTAATTTTTCTTCACTATTTTTCCTCTTTATCATTTACTACTACAGTTACAGTTTAATATTGTACTGCTTTCTAATTTTACTTGATTGTCTGATTGACTGGTGCAGAAAGGTTTCCCTTTTGATTCTGCTGCATATAATGATCCAAGCATCATCAGCCAGAGGCTCCCCATCATCATGCAGAGGACCCAAAAGCTTGTAATTTCCTCTTAAGTTATAAAGCTGTAAATTCCCATAATGCAAAAGGGATTCTGATCAATTCGTATCTTGTTCATATTTTATTTAAACTTATATCATCGCTGTTGATACCATCAGTTGCTTGTTATGAGATAAGCTCAAGTTGAGATGCGTATTCGTCATGTTTTGTACTTAACAAAAGGTGGGGGAGGGTTTTAGGGGCTGATTGTCATGCGTGGAACCAAGGGGACACTCGAATACTAGTCATTCGGGGTGGCTTTTAGGGCGTACTATAAAGCTTTGGATCCAATAATTTGTGTTACTTTTTAGTATCATTCGTGTAATTTGTTTAGGAAACGCGGTTTTAAAGCAACTGAAATATCACTGGCAGATAGCAATGGCCCCTATTGTTATTTCGAAGAAAAGCATGGCAATGGATAACAAAGCACTATGTAGGTTTACCAATTTAGGAATATCTCGTACTCTTGAAATGCTGACAAACGTCAGCTTTGCCTCCTTGCTTATTTTGATAATAGTCACTTCCTAAATTTCTACATTTTACTGCTATGATTTGACAAAGGAGCGAATAATTAAATTAATCCACGAAGAAAGTTAGGTCGGTTATGTTAGTCTTCAAAAGATAGAAATTACTTACGAGGTTCTTGTATGTGCAATTTATCGTGTAAATTAGTCGTTACGATAATTGACGTTAGTTACTGGTAATAGAGATACCGTAGGTCATATTATGTTTCGTCGTTTCTTCTGACATGCCTAGAATCGGCAAAAGTTAGAAGTAAAGGCAGATTCTATTATTTTCATTTTCAGTATGTCCTCGTTTCACTTTGTTCTTCAGTTTTAGTTGATCCTGACTCCGATTTCGTATTTAGCTTGTTATCTTCATTTTCATATTCTATTGGGCATTTCTTTCCTGTGTTCCAACACTTTTAGAATGATTGACTAGTGTGGTGAGCATCAAAAGAAGTTGTGTGTTCTAAGTAGCCAGCCAAACAAGATTTCGGGACTTGAAACATGTGAATGACATCGATGGTGAACCAACAATTATTGTTAGATCTCATATCAGAGCACGGTAACATCTACTGGTACATATTTTCAAATTTACTTTTTCCATCTTTCAGAACTGAAAGCGTCTCATATTTTAGCATCAACTGAGTGATTCAATAATTCTATTGTTCTTTAGGTCATTATTTTTGTTGGATGGTTAAGGCTGACAGGTCTTGGCCTCACCCACAGCACGTGGCTGATGGAGCCAAGCTTACTTGGTCTTCCAGCATATCTGAGTTCTATACCACTTACATCTTTGTTGTTGTCGGTACATTTCCAGGACTCAGAATTCCTACTATCTTAAGTTTGAAGACTAAGCTGATAGATGAAGTGCAAGGATTCCTATAATATCTCAATGTAGACCCAAGCTTGAAAGAAACACATAGGAGGGGCTTTGCTAGAGATGTTAATGATTTTTGACTACTCAGGTAATAAGACAAGGTTTTTTTCTGTCTTCACTCTTGTCCAGAGTCCACTGTTGCTGTTACAAGATTTGCTCAAAGTTATGATATGATGTAAATGGGAAGAGACAGGCAAGTAATATAGGTTATAAGTGTCTAGCCAATTGCAGTTAACCAAATGAGTCTGTTAAGGATCATATAGTTTGGTGTTTGTGAAGAAAGTGAAAAGCATGACTGTGAACATGTCACGCCAGTTAACATGAGATCAATTTGACAGGCGGAATGCACATTTAAGGACCTAATATATGGACTTAATATTTTTCAAGGACTATTTTGAACAGAAATAATACGGACTTCAAAGTACCGTAGCAAATCAGAATTTTTTTCTCTGCAGCATGAACTCGTCTGACTGTAAAGTTTCATTCTGGTTTGTCAATATCAATTAAAATCCATTTTAGTATGGTGATTTTAGAATGGAAGCTTTACATATGTTGGAAGCATAGTGTCTTGAACGGACATAGCATCCACAAAGTCAAGTGTTAGCGGTAATCCTTGCTCACAAATTTTTTCAATTGAGTAAGATGTTGTTTGAAAGTACATACAGAAAGAAAACCAGATTTTCAAGGTTGGAAAGCAAAATCTCCTTCCTAAGTCAGTATCATGCCAAGTGAGCATTGCACATCAGGAATTATTTCATGCATCGAGAAAATAAAATAGATAGCCAGGTGTTATTATCTGGGTTTTCTGGTGCTACACACTTAATCATGTATAGACAGTGGAAATTATAAAACTCCTACCATCACTATGCAGTACCATCATCTGAGTTGTTGACTCTTCCTGCTAAGATTAATGAGAAAACTCTTGAGGGTGAAGCTCCCAGCTGAGGCCAAAAACTGTATCAGAGTCTGAGGTCTAAATCAAGCTTGAGTGACTCCTGAGGTAGCTGGGGCTGTTGTGTAACCAAACGAAAGCTGCCTGGCCACACCAGATCCGTTTGATCCTCAGGTGTGAAAGGTGTCCATGCCATTCCAAGCCCTGCATATGAATCATGGAAGCTCGGTGCCAACATAGTTCCTCCTCTGCATGGCTTGTGCACGAGTGAATGGGGCTGGACACCAAGTGATCGAATCATAGGAGTGTTCATGGGCAAGCCCATTATTGCCATAGTCCTCTGAGATTGAAATCTTCTGGCAGCACCTCTTTCCCTTTTGTGAGCATTCTGATGACCCCCTAATGCTTGTGAACTAAAGAACTTCCTCATGCAGAAGTTGCACGAAAAAACTTTGGTAGTAGCTGGTCTTGGTTGTGAATCAGGGTCTCCTGCTGTTGAGAGTGCAGTGCCTCCTAAGCTCAGGTTCAACCACTCTTCGGGATTGTCATCTTCACTTCCATCATTGTTCTTGTCTCTGTTAATCACTTCACCTGGTTGTTCCTTGGCTGTTGTAAGAGTTGTTTCATCTTCCTTGATAATCATTTCTCCCTAAATTCTCAGATGAGTTCTGGTGATCAAGGGAAGTTGAATAGATGAGAAAAGGCTTATTGGAATCCTTTTTAAGGTTTGATCAAAAGCTGAGAAAACTAAATGGACGGGGGTATCAATCAGAGTGTAATGGAAGTGAGATGGGATGTTTTTTATTTTATGTCATCCCAATCAGTAACCCCACCTATTTGATGCTTGGTGCTGTAGGGAACAATGCTTACGTCATCTTCACTGTTGTCCCCATTCAAGCTTAGGATTCCCCACTATCATCTTTTTATCATTTCCCTCTTTTCTCCTTATAAAGTCCCAACCTTTCTTGGCTATCTTAGGAATAGCCTTAGAAACATATCGTTGACAATAGTAAATCTTTCCATCCATTGTCAAAATCAAATCTCACAATTTATTTGAAGTGCCTGCCATGTGTGCTTCTTACCCATCATGTAACAAATCTATCAGCTATTCTCTTTTCCCTGAGTAGGGTGGATATGATGAGTTTTTAAGATGGTGTCTTCATGTTTATCCACTTTGGCCACTTCTAAGAATTATTTTTTGTTTATATCCCACCTTTTATATTCCAAATTCCAATTGATAGTGAAAGTAGGATCTGACTTCTAGCTTTAGCATATGTAAGGTAGGGTTGGTTTGGCTTTTCATTGCTTTTTGATTTGATGTTTAGTGGGGGAGAAGGTACCATGATCATTTCCAATAATGGTGGTGAAAAGTTGGAAACGATATAACATGGTCTGTTGCTATATTAGAATAGTATTCCCCGAGCCAGGTCATCAGCGTGAATGTTTTCTTCTTGTGATTTATTGGTGTTCCTCTACAAACTTGTAGAGGACAATGTATATGTACAATGGCAGAAATGCATAAGGACCCAGTTGCACTTGCACTTACTTTATCTCTTTCAATTGTTCTAGACAAAAGCCACTTGTACTTTGTCTTTCCTTAAATAAACCCAGGCATAACATGGGAAAATTCCAGAGTTACCCTGTTACTTAAAGATGGTTCTCCACTCACTTTCTCTCTGAAATAGACCATAGAAAAGACACCTCACCAACCAATCAGAGCTCAGCTTTGTGGAGTGTAAGTTGGAGATGGAAAGTGTTTTGTCAAGCATTGATAACCCCGAATTCAAAGAGCATAGTCATGGCTTCTGGGTTATGGATAATGTTGGAAATGATCATGGTACTTTCAAGTTAGGGGGAGACACTGAGACAGTTATATTTCTAGTTTGAGTGTTGGATAATTTTTTTTTCTTTGAATTTTTGGTTGGATAATTTTTTTTTTCTTTGAATTTTTGGTTGGATAATTTAGTGAGGTAAACAAGAATAATCCAACTTCAAATTGATTAAACAAGAAGATTAGTTTATCCAACGACATTAAAGTGCAAATCCTGTATAAAGAAAAAAAAAAATAGATGGGTCTGCATAAATCTTCACGGAAAAGGTAAGGGAAAAAAGTAAACAAGTGCTTTTGCTTGTGCATGAATCATGATGTAATAAAAGAACAACAGTAGTTACTTCAAATGCTTGAAGATAGAACTGAATAGAATGGAAGATTCTTCCAGGTCCTTGTGATCAGATCTACATCTAAAATTAGAGAATGTTCCTGCTCCACTTCCGTTCAGATAGTCAGATTGAGGGTTAACCTCAACCCAAATCATATTCATACATGACTTAACAAATTTACCTTGTAAACCTTGAATGAGTAAACAAATATATAATAAATGAACAAGAGATTCGTCGGTCATATAATTATAAAATTGTAAATATGATTTTTTTATTACATTTTATAAATTAATCTCTATCAAGAAAATGTAATCTATTAAGTGTTTTTAAAGATATTTTGATTAAATAATAAATACTAAATATTTATTTATTAAATGATTTTGTTATAATATTTAAAATATTATATTTAAAACAAAGACGTGCATAGATAAGAAAACTAATAATGTAGGGATAAGATCTGTTTATAAACTTTTTTTGCAAATTATACTAAGTACGACCGATCGTACACTACATGATTAAAATATGACCGATCGTACTTAGTGTAATTTGTAAACAAATGGTTTGTAAATATATCTTAACCCAAGTAATATGAATTGTTGTTAAAAGTTGTACAAAAGTGAAACGGCTGTGAAAGTCAATAAGGCTCTATTGGGGTTTGGTGTAACTCATGTTGATGGCAGATTTCATCGGAGGAATCTGACATCCTCCGCAGAAGTAAGAAGAAATACAAAGGAGGGGATTCTTCTTTTAGCCATGACCATACTATGATGCCAGGGGAGGAAGAGTGGATGGAGGAAGGTATCTCCTTCAAGGAAATGTTGATGCGTCACAACAGTGAATGGTGTAGTGAAGAGGAGGAGAACCTGTTAGACCATATGATGAAGAGAAGGAAGAACAGCAGAGAGACATAAACAAGGAAATATAGCCCGAGGTAACATGGGAAGTGGACAAAGATGGTCGTACGAATTTCAAACTATTAGATGACTTTAAGAAGAAGGCGTGGAGACCGTGGAGGAAAGTAATGTATGTCAAGTTGTTAGGTAAGAAATTATCCTTGTCTTTCATGAAAAAAAGGCTGAAAAAACATGTGGGCTAGGGAAAGCAAGGTGAATATCACTGATGTTGAGAATGGGTACTTCTTGTTTCGATTTTCAAGCCAAAAGGACTTAGACCATGCCTTAATAGCAGGTCCTTGGGTAATTTTGGATCATTACCTGGCGATTCGTTCATGGAAGCCAGACTTTCAGCAGCAATATCAGGTAGCAATTGCTTGAATTACTGCATGGGTGCGCCTTTCGGGATCCCCATGCAAACACAGAGCTGATAAAGGGGATTGGAAATTGGTTAGGAAAATTCATCAAGGTTGACACAACTACAACATCGCTGGCTAGAGGTAGATTTGAACGTATATGTGTTGAGCTAGACCTTACCAAGCTGAATACAAGCTAGAGAGAAGACTGAAGCAGATGGTGTGCTACACTTGTGGTCAATATGGCCATTGAGCAGAGATGTGCCCAAATAAAAATTCTCTTGAAGAGGCGGTGACAACCCAAATTCAAAATAGAGAGGAATAGAGTGGAGAAGTGAGCACAAATTCATCCCAAAAACAAACAAGCCAGAAAAGGAGAATAAGTATGGACCTTGGATGCTGATCAAAAGGCAGAGGAGATTTAACTGTAATGATAACACTGCTCAAAAGGGAAAAAAGGAGGCTCGAAATTCCCAACCTTTAATGCTCTGGAAAAGGAAAATAGTTATCCAGAAGAGGAGAAGGAAGAAAGTTTGAATGTGGAAACCAATGATGAAGGAAATAATGATGCTCAGCCACATATACTTAAACTATGACAGCTCGATAGGTTGTTGAAACAAGTTCCAGCTACAACTTAGTAGGGGGAGCAAAGGGGGATCCATTAAAGAGAGCAACTCGGGTCCCAGAAAGGAGATGGTAATGACAAAGGCGAAGTCATCTGAAAACCTCAATGTAGCAGTAAGCCCAAGACGAATGGAAAGATCAGCGAGACAGGTGGCCATAATTACAGAGAAAGAAACAACCTAATTGAAAGAGGTCCTTTTAATCCATATTCCCTCAAGAATTTGATGTTCTTCAGGCACCAAGGCCTCCTGAGCTGGAGCATGAAGACATGGAGCAGGACGATCCCCCTCAGGTGGTGAATGCTTGTGAAGAGTTGACTGGGAAGTCTTCACCTATGAAAATAGAGGTGTTGGTACTCCATAACCATGTAAATTCTTTTTATTTCATTTTTATGTCAATTCTCTTCTGGAATGTGAAAGGAGCTGCTACGAAAGAGGTAGGGCATGCGATAAAAAATCATCTGATTTCCATGGTGGTTCTATTAGAACCGAAAACAAACAGTACTTATGGGTCAGCAGTCATGAAGAGCTGTGGAATTGACAGCAAATATGTGGAAGAAGCACATGGATTCTCAGGGGGCATCTGAATTATGTGGGCTTCAAATAAAATCCACATAGAGCTAATCTCTCAATCAAAGCAAATGATTCACTCAAAAATCACAGTTAGTAATGGGGACAGATTTCTCTGTACAATTGTCTATGCTAGCCCAAGAGAAGCTTAGAGACAATACCTCTGGGATGATTTAAAGACGATGAGCAGAAATTGTATGGCATTAATAGTCATTCTTAAATGGGGATTTTATATTTACCACATTTACAAGTTATAACTAACTTAATCACCGTTACATCAGATTTTAATTCAATGGCTCATAATCAATTCTTATAATCCTAATTTTTTACTCTCTTATTCTCTCTCATCCATTTTTTTTTCTCCTCTCTCCGTTTCAACCATTCTCTGTTTCAATTACCCCAATATCAAAAATTGGGGTTTCGCCATTTGTGCCTTAGCAGTGGAAATTCGCAGTCATTCTCAATTATTGTTGTTTGTGAATTGGGGTTTCGCCATTTTCACCAATAATTGATTGTGGTCAAATATTTTAATTAAATATCAATTGATTTCCTAATTAGATGCCGATAGAAATATATGCCAAGTATTCCTCTTTTCTTGTAATGGTAATAAGTGAGGGTTCAGAGCTAGAACGAAGAAGCGACACATTGCTATAGCATCAACAACACTACTTTTTGGCACATGACACATTGTGTAGGGTTCTCCGATGCTAGAGAGAAGAAATTTGCAGACCTAGAGAGAGAGAAAAAAAGTGGATGAGAGAAAATAAGGGAGTACAAAATTAGGATTATAAGTCTTGATTATGAGCCATTATATTATACTTTGATTTAACGATGACTAAATTAATTGTAAATGTGATAAACTTTTTTGTGGTAAGTATAACCCTCCATTTTTAAAATAATTGAATAGTTATCACTACTTTTTTTTAAGTACACCATAGTTATCACTACTTTCTTACCCTGCTAATGATAGTTATCACTACTTTTTTTTTGGTAAACAAAAGGGCTAAGCCCAACAAGACAAGAAAAAGAAAAAAGAAAACCGAAGAAGAAAGAGATACAATGCGATCTCTTCCCACTGAAGCAAAAACAACCAAGAATAACAGGTGTATTCCTCCTGGAGGTTCCTCAAAGAATATCTGATCCTCTTGCACAGACACATCTAGCAGATAATTTGCCAGCCAGCCAGCACACATATTGCCTTCTCTAAAAATATATTGAAGCTTAACCTGCTAGTCTCTATCAATCCATGTCCATATTCGAGACAACAAACACATCTCACGGATTACTGCACCTCTCTTGGTGAGTCCAGTGATCCCTAATAACAAATCACTTTTCAGAATTATTTTCCTAAATTCAACATTCCATGCCTTCTCTAAACTATGCAAGATACCTCAAAGCTCAGCTCTAAATGCTGTACAGAACCCCAGACTATATGCAAATCCCCCCAACCAACTACCTTATGCACTACAGATCACTCCCCCATAAGCTACTAAACTTGGATTACCACGCACTGCGCCATCTGTATTTATCTTAAACAAATCCAACATCTGGGAATTGCCGGGCTATATTTAATTGACTACAACCAGCTGATACACAAGACTTCCGTATACCTGTAGCTAACTCCACATCCTGAACAAACTTCATAATAGTTTCAATTTTAGTATCGATTGGAGGAACTATCTCAGCCTGATTGACTTTATTTCTCCAATGCCAATTCTTCCAACAAGTGATAAGAAACATAGATAGCCAACCATCCGTAACCTTGTAACTTGCATCCACTCCAAAATTAGAAGCAAGCCAGGAATTAATATCCATATTAAAGAATCCCGATTGCAGATCAATTGGGATAATCAACTCCCAAACACTTTTAGCGTTGCAACAATCTCTTAAGAGCATGTAAAAGCGATTCGTTCTCTCTAGAGCAACATAATAGTTATCACTAATTTAACTAGTCTAACATCCACAATATTGATAAATTTTAACTAAATTCTATCAATTTTTTTCTGGATGAGTAATATTACTCTACAACATACGGCAAAAGCTAATGATTTAAATTTACTTATTTTTTAAAAAACTTTCTTTGCAACATTCTAATTATAGACGGTTATATATTAAAATAAATTAATCTAAACATACACCTTATTCTTTTCTAACAATATCAATCCTCCACTAGTCTGGTTTCTTCCCCAACTTCAATAAACATCCCTCGAAGCATTCGATGGAAAACAGTATTATTCCCAAATAGTTGAAAGAAACACGTCAAATGTACAGCATTTAACCAAAAACCAGATAGAACAAGAATCAAGAACTACTCTTGACTGCTGTTGTGATTTCGAAAGAACAAAGAGATTCTTCTCTCCTGAATAAGAAATAGCCAAATTAAAAATAGAATAACAAATGAGAGTCTCATTCAAGATTCCTACAACCATTACTTCGCAGATAAAACTCCCCATAATTATTGGTCCTCCATATTCTTGAAGGCAGCTAAGCAAATCCAACAGCTTCCTCACGTACCTGCAAAGCAAATCATACAAAAACAACATAAGCACCAGAGATTACACAACATTAAGATTTAAGACAATATTGCTAAACCCAGCATATCAAATCACTAGTTCAAAACTTTACATTGCATAAAGGAAACTTTTCCCAATTTAACGCTCATGGGCACGCATAGCATCTGTTACATAGAAAATTTAAACCACCAAAACAACGGGAATTCCCAAATAGTGTCAAGCTGTCATAACATAACAGTCCCATCCAACAAATACTTTGACAGAGTAAGAATGTAACTATTCAAAAAAGTAGTAACCGCTAAGCGCAAAATCCAGGGAAGGGACTTAGACCCATTATATGGGTCCATAGTAAGCAGACCTATCTTGCATTTGCATGTGACCGATTACATGAATCGAACCTATGGGTCACATGGTGTCCAGTGACAACACCAACCGCTGTGACAATGTTTACCTTCAATCAATGTTGATATAAGATTTCCTTTTTGGGATAAAAATACTTATAGAAGACTTAACATCAAAAGAATAGGCAAAGGTTGTTATCATCCTTCACATGAAAGGACAGAATGCAGCTTTTGACTACCATGCCTAGCAGCGTGTAGCTTTCAAATTGTCTTCTTACGAAAAATTTGAAGCGGAGCAACTTCATTAGCACAAAAATGTCACATCTTTCAGAGCAAAGGATTTGGAGTTGGGTCAAGGAAGTCATTTTAGTTTAACCATAATAATTGATGGGGATTAGAACCTCACCTCAGGAGTCAGGATCACCTGTGAAAGGAATGGAGTTTACCCATTAGTAGTATTAGAAGAACTGATGAAAGGGCTGTACATACAGCCATTTCAAGGATGACTCTGGCATGGATTTTATTTTTGTGAAAGTAAGCAAATTTATGCATTGAATAAATTGACAACAAATGCCCACACTGTCCCATCCACATAACTTTTTTTGTGGGAAGCCTTCGTATTTCTAGTTGAAAAACATAAACTACTTTATATTTTGGTAAAACGAGCAGGGATACAGTCTTAGTTTTTCATTCAATTAGGACTACATCAATAAGTGCTCACTGAGAGCATAGATTTTTCAATGTTAAAATTAACAACAAAGTATCACACCCAATGGATTGTCGGAGTGCATGCCCAGGGGAAACAAAATTGATTTCAAACAACTTAAATAAATAAATAAAAAGGAGAGAGGAAAGAACATTTAGATGTCCAGGAAAATCCATATACTGCTTCAGTTCATCTCTAAGAAACATAAACCACTAACTTGTGTATGGTTTAATTGAAAAATATGATTGAATTCATAATTTCGAAAAAAAGGAATAAAAGGGAACCTACTATGCAGCATTCTTCTCTTGCCATTGGAGGATCGATGTCCATGCGCATCACCCATCTTTTCCATTCCTACCTATAAATTGGAATCTTAATACCTTCTTATCAACCAAGCTAGACAGACTCACAAAGTTCTACCCAGTTCATCTCTTCACATAGAGCAACACAGCACTAACGAATTTTGAATATCTATTAGCCCTACAATTTAAGGTCTTCTAGAGTCTAGAATATTTGTAAATTTAAAAAAGAAAAAAATAGCATATTTGGGGAGGAGCCAAAAAACAAAAATGCAAAAAGAACAAAAAAAAAAAACCATTTGAAATGTTTTTCATGTATCCTAGTAACAAGCAAGACTCACAAAGAGACTACTAGCGATCTTGACAAGAACGACGGAAGGTACCATGGGACAGCTCGCAACAAGCTCGTGCACTGACAGTAATGTGTGACGTCAGACATGTTAAAGCCATCGCACTATGCAGAGGTAAAAGTGATTGTACGCAACCCAATTGCCCCATGTTCCTGTTCCAAAAAAGACAGAATAATTTAGAATTTCGTCAATTAAGCAAAAAATCAGTGAAACTGGGAAAAGCGAAATGGTGGAAGTAAAGTAAAATGTGGGATGGTACATGGAAGCAGGCATGGAAAAGCGGCGGGACTGGATGCGAGGTGCGTTGAGTGACGGCGGACGGATGCGGGGAAGGGGAGTGGGTGCCGCCGGGCGGAGTGAAGCCCTAGCTGAAGACATCAAAGAGCGAGACAGAGATCCAGATCGCCACGCCATTTGTGTGTCAATCGGAATCCAATCTCAGAGACGAAAACAAAAAACACCAAATTTTAGGGCTTTGAGAGGGTTTAGTGGGTCGCTGCTAGTGTTGCTTGTAGGTTTTGACTGGGATATATCTCTGACTCTGATTACTTGAAACGATCCCGTTTTCTGTTTGCGTTTTAATTTTCTACCCTGTACTTTTTTCTTGTGATTATATTGGTTTTTTTTTTTTTAAGATTAAAGTTTAATATATTAGGGCAACATAACCGGCTCGGTTCAAAGGGATGACCTGATGAGGTGGGCTAAATTTTACAGTCCATTGTCAAAAGCGAGATGAGAATGGTTGACTCAATTTTTGATAGATTGATAACAAAAAAACAGGAGATAAGTTAGTGTAAAAAATATTTGGGTCGGCGGGCCAACCCATCTCTCCAAACGGGACGAGATGGGACGGGTCGGACAAGTCTGTTTATTTTGTCACCTCTATTGACATTTTTAAAAAAATTTACACATATTTAACTGATTTTGTTATTTTCAATGGATAAATACGTAGAAAATGTTTATAAAATTTGAGAAATGCATGTAATCTCTTAAATAAAGATGTCGAAATGTTAGGTGCAAATTTTACAACAAAAGAAGCCTAAAATATGGGAGTGAATGCCCATAATGTCTCTGCTCATATGCATTAAATAAGAAGAGTTCAACTAAAATTTATCAACACTAATAAAAAGATAAATAAACACAAAATTGTCACATAGATATCTTATGTAAATTTTTAATATGAAAAATGAATTCCTCTTAAAAATAATAAGGACAAGTTGAATGTAGATATTCGACTCGAGGTGTAGAGTTATATAGGGCAAAGGGCAAAGTGAATGTAATTATTTAAATCAAGCTGTGGATTTATATAGGAGTGACTTTTTTAAAATCACTTTTTTATTTTATTTTTATCACTCGAACTCGAAAACCATAAAACAATGTAATTAGTCTTTTAACTCTTGGTACCAGGCTCGTTCACTCACTGCTACATTTATTTATTCTTTGTGCTAATTATTGTAAATATTAGATACTGAATAAGACAAGAGACTCAACAAAACTATGTGTGACGTTACTATTAAATTTAACTTCTTTTTTTTTTTGGTAAACTAACTTTTTTAAAGCTTGTAATTGTAAATATTTATATAACGGATAGGATAAGATAATGAAAAATTAAGGCTTGTTCGTTACAAAATAAAAGATCTTATAACATAATTTTATACAAAGTCATTCGGTTTACGCATTTATATTTAATAATTATATAACAAATTTATTAAGCCTCAAGTTGTCTGATAAGTTCTGAGAATTAATAAAAATATAATATTCCAATTTCAAATCAATCATAACCCTCGCCGGCATGTTCTCCTTATACTCTTCATCTTACCATTTTAACTCAAGTCCAAAGTCCCTCCAATGTTTCCAAAGTCCCTCAATAAGTTTGTTTAACCAATGCGGTAATGTAGAAATAGCGTAAAATAAGCAAAGTTTGTACTATTCTCCTTAATCTATGTCTTCCGTAGGCAAATGACTCTTAGAATCCAACAGGAAACAAGAAGATTAATTTATCACGATACAGTGATAAACTTTAAGTTTATCTTGTTTTATAGACTAAAATCACACGAATTATCAAGTCAAATGAGTGAAAACTAGAGTTTTGATATAAAATACATGAACTAATTGATTTATGAATTAAATAATATTTATTTGTTATTTTGAAAGGATTTGAAGATGAAAGGAGTCAAATTTGAAGATATTATAGATAGAGATCCAAATTAGAAGATATGAGGATCTATCTAAAAAAAATTAAGAAGTATCAAGTTGTCGAAGAGGAGGCTTAAGCACCCATTTCGAGGCTTAAGCCCCTTAAAATTTCAAAAATCCCAATCAAAGAGCAAAAGCCACGGCCTCCGGGCGCTTAACCCCCAATTTTGGGCTTAAGCGCGACCAAGAAGAAAAGTTCAGACTCGAAGAGCGCGTTTAAGCGCGCTCCAACTTGCTTAAGCGCGCCACGTTAATTTTCCTTGCAAATCTTAGGGGGCTTAAGCGCGCTGATTCAGGCTTAAGCGCCCCAGAAACCCAACTTAGGCCCATTTCGAGGTGTTCACTTAGGGCACGAATTCTTGGCCATTAAAAAGGCAATTACGGTAAGAATTAATCAAGTTTTTCACATTCAAGAAGAGTTCTTGGTACTTGAGGCAGAGGGAACGCGGAGGATTCATCGGTTTATGTTCGTGGATGGCGGAGACAGATCAAAATCAAGTTTTCGCTGGGGATATTGAAGATTCACCAATCAACTATGGAGTTTGGGGAAGCTTTTCTATTTTCTTTCGTTCTTGATCTTGCTATGTCCGGCTAATTCTTTAAGTAGTTAAGGTTAGATGAAATTTAATCTATTTATTATGCTTTGAACAATTCGTTATGTTAATTTTCCTTTTTATCATGAATGAAATTATTTGTTTTTAATGCTTTATATGAGCTTGAATCTTATATATTGATCTTAGGTAAATACATGACAATAGGAATGTTGGTGTGTGATCCGTATCTGATAATTTCATCGTAAACTTTATAATTTTAGGGATAGACATAGGATTTGCGTAATCTTGAGATTCTTGAATTTAATGCTTACTTTCTTGGGGAATAACCGGGGAACTAGGGTTCTTGCAATATTGTAAAGATTTAGGGTAACAAGGGATTGAGCCCTAATTACATAAGAAAGAATTGACTAAATTGATATTAAGGACGATTAACGTAAAGAAGGAATTCTAACGTAATAGAGAGATTGAAGGAAATCGAAATCCTAGCTACGTTCTTCTACATTAGTTAATTCAAATATTTAATTTCTTGCTTTTAAATTCTTGCGAGTAATTAGTTTTAATATTTTAAATTTCAAATTCAAATCATGTTACCAATATAAATTCGATTGTCCAACTTAAGTTGCAATAGTGAATTAGTGCTTGAGTATAATCCTCGTGGGAACGATCTCTTATTTAATCATTATATTACTTGTACACGATCGGTGCAGTTGCCGTGAGGTCCCAACATATAGCAAACTACATCCAACATTGAATCCAATGACAAATTTCATAAAGCAATGCATGTTCCTTAATAAGAGACTTATTGGAAAGGTTGGAAAAAAAATTCAAGGATTCACTTGGCTAAAGGAGTATGTCTTCACACACTTCAACCGATTATTGTATGAGTAAACTCTGCCGGGTGATAAATTTGCTAGGACCATGGTTTCTCTATAATGTAGTCTCACTTGGGAATTCTGGTTTTCTGACCAAAGCCCTACTTCACGGAGATCTCCTTCTTTCCAGCAGATGTTGACTGTCACCCCGCCACGTGCTTTCAATCCTTTTACACAACCATTTGCCCATTTATCCCGAGGCAATGCAGGAAGCAAGTAGAGGTCCTTCATTGTGCTTTGAACAAGCATTTCTGCCACTGCTGTTGAAAAACTGACACCAAACAATGTTTTTTCTCAGCCAAACTAATTCAGAATTATTAGTATCGTCACCAAGTTGTTTTGTTAATTCTAGAGCAACAGTTTCATCACAGCCTAGGCTTCTACATACAACTTTGAAGTTTACATCTTCCAAACAAGTGGGTGAACTTTTATAGGTTCCAAAAAAAATTTAGAACCAAATGAATTTCTCCACCTTTTTGGAATTGCTTTTCAATTAGATTGATTCTGTTTGAGATATTATTGAAGAAACTAAGAACCAAAGTCTGGAGTTATAATGAAGGATAAGATGCAATAGATTCAACTGGATATAATAATTGCACAAGTGTTCAAAATGTGTTTTTTTTTTTTTTTTGGGGGGGGGGAGGGTTCCTGCATGAGTACACAGATCTATCACAGACTAATGAACTCCATGAAACAAAAATTGAAGCCTTAAAATGACATATAGCAAATGAAATTCTACCAAGAATCTCATGATAGGAAAACTTAACTTTTTTCAGAACCAGAACTGCAGAACTAAACACTCACCCCATACCCCCTCCTTCCAGAAAGTAGAGAGAAGAAATATACCTCAGCTCAAGCTTTTATACATTGAAGTGAAATTGTAAAAATAAAGAAACATGACAGTTCTTACATAAAGATGGTGCTTACCCAAAGTTTGCATCAATCTGGAAAGGGGGGTGTGCTGTGAATAGGTTACTGTAAAGTCCTCCTTCGAAATCACTCTCATGATCAGGGTCTACTAAGTCAATCAAGTGTTTTATCATGCGATATGCATGCTCACTGTTGTGAAGATGTGCCCACAGTGAAGCTTTCCAAGTTGTTGACCACCCTGGACCTTCGTCTCCTGCAACACAGTGCAAGAATGGCAACTATTGTTGAATTATATTATTTCTTAGTATCACAGTTGAGAAATATAAAGCTTCTTGTCATATATACATGGTTGAACTAAAACATAGTAATCCCTAATCCGAAAATGGCATATAAATCCAGGAGTACATTATAATAGTCTACTAAACTAACTAGAGGCTTTAAGACAGTAGATAGTCTATTATGAAGGTACTCTCAACAAAAAAAATCACTTCAGCTATTCAAAAGTAACAGATACATGTTACAGTTACACTGCATCTTATATAAGATATTAATAATGACATATGACCGTTCAAGTTCTTCTAAGATATGGATTTTCAGCATAATAAATAACATAGATGCATATTGAAAGAAAAGATAATTATTAACTAATAACTCAGAAGAGAATTTAGCATTTAAAGTTCTCATAAAAGACCTCTTTTAGTTAGACTATAGTCCACAGCTTTACAGAGGTCTGGGGTTTTCTCGAGACTTATAGTGTGCCCTGGAAACAGGCCAAACAGATGTGAAACATGTCGATGATGTACATCCGGGTCCTGAAAATCTTCTGCCTGCCAAATAAATAAGGTGTTAAAGTTAAAATGGAATTGGTAGCCTACAGCAGAACTAGGTCATTGCAGACCAGAACAAGATATCAAATGACAAAAAGAAGCCAAATGGACACTAGAGAGATTGAGGCAAGGAATGCAAATATTAAATATAATTGCATACCCATTCCATAATGGAACCATCCCTAGCAATTTTTGTCGGAGGAAGCTTAGACTGAGACTCAGTGACTCTTTTTATAATAGCATCATCGTGTTTTCCCAAAACCTGTTCTTGAGAAACTTGGTGACCAAGATAAAATTAGAATAATAGGAAACTAGTATTGGTTTGAGCACTAAGATTAGTTTCACCTCGGCAGCAGAGATGATTGTAGAGAAAACTTCTTTTATGATTGAAATGTCCATGGTTGATGAGTAGCTCACACTAGCAGGCTTTTGATCTGGTGCAATGAACATGTGCTCTGGTGAAGTTGATGGGTTAGTTTCCAATAATCCACCACCGCCTTCAATCAACCAATCCAACAAAAATGATGTACATCCTTCCAACAAAGGATATGCTTTATTTTTAAGAAAATCCTAATATAAAAGAAAAACCAACCATCACTTGCCTAGTAATTTTATGTGAGTGAGATAGCACACAGAGAAAATCTAATTTATGAATATAGTATTTACAAATAAAAAACACAGATTTATGTGCCATAATAATATATTAGATTCTTCATCCCTCAGTAGTTTGTATCTCATAACTAGCCTATAGTTATAACCTCAAAGGTTCATTGGTAACACCAGCAGTAAATAAGTTGCATTCTTACACCCACAAAAAGAAACTTGAAGAAGTCATAATTACATTCTTATGGATGTGGTTTGTAAGTCCATTAAATTCCCTAGAACTATTAATCATCATAGCTAAACAAGGTATTGTTTGGATTAGTATCAGATTTGAAATCTCATTGTGTGCATAAACCATAATAACCAAAAATAGATCAAAGTGGTTATGCAGAACCCTATCACAAAGTGAAAATAAATAACACATTTCAACATATATAGTTCACCTTATAGATATGTCATGAAAGTAGAAGCGAATGAGTTTGGTAGAGTTTGGTATGTGGCATGCAAGGAACACGCAGCTCTACAAAGTATGACAATTCATGATAGGTAATTTCAATAACACAGGGAAATCTAAAACTGTAATTAAATCACCCTACACAGCCATTTTCACAAGATCAGTTTTGAGTAAATACTTAAAATCAAGGCTTAGATAATTTATGGAAAAACAGAACTTACTTTGTCCATTGTATAAGTATAATGCTCCCATAGATGGGTACAAAGCCAAGCTCCACCCATTGGCCAGAAAGCCCAAACAGCCTCACCTCGATCTGGGGATGTTTTCGCCCATATATCAGAAACTTGATGCGCAACCCAACCATTTGCTTCATAGTTCACCTGTATGCAGGATCAAATGAAATTCTAGGTAATATAAAATTCATAACATGGTGGCCAGATACTGTGCTGATGGCACTATGCTAGAATATTTTTTTCTTTTGCTTTTTTGCTCTGCTACAGATTTTTGGCATAGGAAAGAGGGGTGGGCGGACAAAGTTACTGATAGCTAACTAGCAGAAAGGGCCCCCTTTCTTGAATAGAATGCCAAGAATTATATGAAAGGGAAAAGAAAAAAATACCTTTGCAGTCTTGCTACCATTCACTGACAAAGAGGAAATGTAATCAAATAACGGCTCTTGACACTCATGTAGGTTGCAAGAAAGGGACGGCCAATAATTCATTTGAAGATTAATGTTCAAATGAGGAGCACCGCTGGATAACAAAAAAGGGAGACAAATTACAAACTCTCATGAATTCTTCATGAAATTACTTCTAGATGCATATTTGATACTCCATATCCATCTAAAAACTCTAAGCTACCAGATAATCTAGAAACTATGGCACACAATTTCTTTTTTATTCTTTTATTTATTTGTTGCTAGAAGAGGGTTGAAAAGAGAAGGGAAAACGTACTCCCATGCAGGCTCAATTTTGTTGTTCCATATACCCTGTAGGTTTGCCACCTGAGTTCCAGGACGTGAAGAAGAAATTAGTAGATATCGACCATATTGAAACAAAAGCTCCACAAAGGAAGGATCTTCGTCAGTTTGAAAAGATTTGACTCTCGCTGAAGTTGGAACAGTATCATCACCTCCCATTTGAGAGGAAACCAATTTCCTTTCGTCCAGAACAGATTTTCCTAACACAGTCTTGGAGCTTTTAGAGAGTTGCAATGAGACACGATGAAATATATTCTGATAGTCATTCAAGTGACGTGCATAAAGATCAGCGTACGAAAAATTTTTCACAGACTTCATTTTACTGAGGGACTCAGAAGCAGGATCCTTCTTAGAGTCTTCAGGCTTAGTAAATGGCCCATCAAAAGAAGAAGAAGCTGTCAGAAGTAAAATAGCCCAATCTGAACCTTCAACTCTTAGTTTCTTATCATCCAAAACACGTAAAACCCCTTTGTCATTACTAATCTGTATATCAAGAATTGCAGAAAACTGTATCCCCTTTGGATCTTCATCTGAATTCACTTTTGGCCGGATCCTCATGCCAGGGCAGCTTCCTCCCATGATTATCTGATTTTGGCCACTAACACGTGAATCATGATGTAATTTGCTATCCAAAGACACTGTAAATGATAATGACCCTGACTTGCTAGCAGAAAATCTTGACACCATCACTTGGTCCTGATTAGAAGCAAAATGTTCCCTGGTAAATTCTACATCACCCACAGAGTATTTTATTTTTACTGTTGCGCTATCCAAATCCAGCTCCCTGTGATAAGACTCTTTTGAATATTTAAGATGAGAATCATCAAACTCTAACTGGATATCACCAAGAAGTTGGTATACCTTCATATCAAGAAATAACAGTTAGGGTTGACTGCCAACATTGTATAAAGCTTCATTAACTCATCCAATTGAACACCAATAAGCACATAGTTCATAAAAAATTAGAGGGAAAATGGCTATATAAATTGTAATATACTACATACATCAGAAGGATCACCAGACAACTTGACAGCTGCTGCCGTAGCTTCAGAGTACTTTCTATCATCAACAAGTTTTCTGACTTGAGCAAGCGCCTCTGGAGCATTTTTGTTGGTGTAATTGACAGGCGTCCCGGTCCAAAGTGTGTCCTCTATGAAACAATTTCAAATCTTCACATTAGCACACTTCATGAAATGAAAAAAGCCATAAGCTGATCAGTTTCGCTATGTAGAATGCAGCATGACCTTATATCCCTGATATCTCAATTATATATAAATTTACAACTAGAAATGCCTATAGTATTCCTATCAAAGTAATCTACATGAGATTTGTGATTCACAATAATTGGCATTTCGAATCAAAGTAACAGCAACTAAAAGCAAGAATGTTGTTTATTTATTTACCGTTGAGCTGGAGAACTTCGGATGGTACGCCACCCCAAACCATGGCACCGAGACGGCCATTACCGATGGGGATGGCATCGGTCCAGTGGGTTGCAGGCCCAGAAAAAGTAACCTTCAAGGGCCTGGGAGCCTCTTCTTCTGCATTCGTTAAACTTGGGTTCCACCAGTCCTTCTGTGGGGCGCTGCGCACCAGAACCCATTCTGCATCTTCCATTGCACAAGAGACTAGAGAAATGAATGAAGGAGTGGGTGGAGCAGAGGAACCTGATAGCTGTGTTTGTTCGCTCTTACTCTTCACTTACAGCGTGAAATAGCTGAGATTTTCTTTGAATTGGACACGCATTCAAGTCTTGCAGGCCCCACTGCTCAGGTACCCGACAATGCAATATCTAACCATATTTAATTGATGTTAATGTTATACAAGAGATTACATACAAGGCGTTTGGTGCATAGTATATATCCAGCGTTTGGTAAAAGAATAACATACAATTAAATTTTAATACTATTCAGCATTTGGTACGGTAATGTATAAGATAATATTCTCTAATATTTTAAAAATTAATATATTAAAAATAATTATTTTAATATATTAATATTGAAATGATATATTAGTTCTTCGAAATTATATTTGTAAGCAATATTAATACATCAACCTCTTATCAGGCTTAATCTCACCTACTTAGGCTTGATTAAGTTATACATCATTTTTGATGTATTAAAGGATTCTGTTGTATAAATTTATACTATACGATGGTTATACCAAACAACTGAAAATGTCATAACATATAGTATAAACTTATATTTTAAAACATTATACATCATACCAAATAGGCCCCTATTGTTAATTTCTTAAATAAACATAATAATAGATTTAAAAAAAAAACACTCCAACTATCGAACTTAAAGTAAAATAAAACATGTAAATCAAAACAATAAATATACGAGAATAATATAAATCATTAAAAAGTCCCTCGTCCAACGATTTTAGATTGAAATGATTCTTTACATATTACCAGAGATTTAACAAACTCAAGATCACGAGTTCGATTCCTACTGTCCCCACTTTCAGAGTAAGTTAAATAAACATAATGTAAAACAAAAAAAATTAGACCTATGCAATATCTACACTTCAAATCTACAAAACTCTTGCACGAGAGAATGAGTTAGAGAATAATATAAGCTATTAAAATGTCCAATTTTAGGTTGAAATAGTTATTTACCGTAATATGGATACTTTTTCTTTTCATTTTCTGTAGTAGGTGCCTCTTTAAAATAGGAACACACTCACTCAACTGACTAACTGTATTTATTATTATGAATGGGTGTAGTATATTTTATGAGATGTTCTGTGTAAACACAGGATCCGGAGTGTGCTTCTATTTTCTATCTTTGTGGTGTAGAAAAATGGGAAATATTCCAACTTGCACGTGAAGGGAGGTCAGATACTCAGATGCGGTGAGAGTTGCAGGGCAGGCAGCATAATCACGAGACATCCAAGATTGTCGTCTAACCTTGTAGATACCCATATGTTTATAAAGTATTTGATTTTCGAAATGAGTTATTCTGGAGGAAACTTGTGTTTAGAGTGAATAAAGTTATATTTATTTTTAAAAATAAAATTATGTTGTATTTTAAATGCATTGAAGTCTCGTGGTATTATGTTTTAATTTCTTAAGTTTGTTTTGTGGATATCTATGAATTACAATCTAAAACATGTTAAACTATAAAACATTCAAATCCGAATCAAAATTAGAAAGGAGTGAGGAGATACGTTTACAACAGGCTTTGGTATTAGCAAATAGCAACAGTTCAGCATACTCGTGCTTCCAACTCCGGAAATCTATATCCAATGTAGACAATTATCGACTATACCAAGGCATCGAAGCAGTGTTTACTGTTCTGAAAATTCTCGTTAAGATTAAGAACGATACTTTTGTGATGAGGCAAGCATGGGTATCCGTATAACTAATAAGAGTAGGAATAGGAATTATAATACTACTCCTACAGCATACAAGGTGCTGAAAAAATGTATTTTTATATTTAATGTTTTACTTGTATTATAATTTTTTAAATTCAATGAGATGGAAGTTATATTTTTTATTATTTTACCATAAATATTTTAGTACATGAACTCCTAATAAAAAATTGGTAAAAATATATATTATGTATATAATAGTTATTTACATAGAATGATTATCATAAAATTTAATTAAACTTTGTATGCTATTTACAAAATTTGTAAGTATTTGAATTTTTTCGTCAAAGTTGTAATATTTAACATAAAAAATTATTTTATTTATTTATTATGCTTTGTGAAATTTTATTTCAAATTGTTATTGCTCAAATATTTATCCACTTTTTGTCTTCTTATTATGATTCTGTGTACTAAATATACTTTTTATGTTTACTTTACACAGTTCTACCTTTAACATTTTGCTAATATCGAGCTAATTAAACTTAAAACGTTGTATTTGTTATACTCTTTACAAACGTTGTATTTTTATATTTTTTTGGGGTAAGCCACTATTCATTAAAAATCGTTAATGAAAGCCGTTTGAAAATGTTGGGAGCCAACCGTCAACTTAAATACTTAATTATATGACTTTCTACTTTATTCATAATACATTTTGTTGGGCATTTTTGTGAGCGGATGCATATGAAACTAGACATGATAGTTAAAGCGTTTATTTAAGTAATGCACCGATGGCTATTGTACATACATAAACCATAGTACCATACACTATAACCTTACTAGTAGCTAAGCTTAGATATATATATATATATATATATATTTACACATACGTCTCCCCCTTTTTTTGTGGTTCATTTGGTGGAAGGGCTTCACGTAATTATGTGCTTAAATGCCTAGGGAATTTTCCCACGAATCAGAGGCAAATCAACTTCATCGCACCACTCCACACACCTAGTTTCAAAATAAGAACCTTTTGCTTGGTTGGGCCAATAGCTAACCCAAAATTCACCTCCTATCCTCCACTTCAACACACTCCCTTCCATCTCTTTGCTAAGCCTCCACCCTACTTCCTCGCCATATTCATCCCCTGCAATAACCACCGACCCATTTTTACCAAACGGTCTATTTGCCCCGACATATCGCCCTCTCAGGCCATGAACCGGGTCATCACCCGCTCGGCTCGTGGGCTTCCATGTGCCTACTTCCTGGCCCGTCATATTATCGCACAAGACGACGTCGAATATCGCCGCATTCCCTTCCGCTTCTTGATCCATTCTCCAACTCCTATTCCTCGTTCTCCTTGACGTCCTCGCCGACGCTTTTACCTTCGCAATTTCTGATTTTTCGAAATTGCCCTTCACGATCTTCTGAATTTCCACTTCTCCCTCCTTGTTCTCCGTGGATCGGCCCAAGCTTAGCCCAGCCACGTAGGCCGCTCCGATTTCTGGGCCCACCCAAACCCGAATCCTAGACGGAAAGTGTTTCTCCTCAATAAAATCCACGTCATCATTTTGGTTGAAACCTAACCTCACCACGTGGAGGCGTATGTTATCCACACGTGCGTTAACCTGAATGAATCCATCAAAGAATCCAACGGTGTATTCTAGCTGCACGTGTGCCTCAAGTTGGTGGTGAGCTAGAGCGTACCGAAGCAATGACTCCTTGGCATCGATACCGGGGAATTGACTTTTTTGACCGTTGGTTCGCGCCAGTTTCATGGTCATGACGGGCGCGTAGCCTTTCAGAACCCAAAGACCATGAGCCTCCGCCGCGTAAGAGAATTTAGGATTCCGGCACGGCGTAGAAGGCACCAGTGTCTGTAATCCTACCCCGAGCTCTCTTATAATGCACCATTTTGCTATTATGTAACCGAGGGTGCGCATGAAGCACAGCTCCGTATCGACGCCCACGGTTATAAAGAAGGTTCGCAGAATGGAGGCGAGCCTTGACGACGTCGTTTCGAGCGTGGGAGCGAGTAGTGAGTGGAAGTAGAGCGAGCCTGCTTCGCTGGGCGCGTCGCACACGCAGAGCCAGAAGAGGCGCATGGTGAAGACTAGGTTGAAGAAAGTTGAGAGGGATTCAGGTGTGTGAGAGTCCATGATCCATGCGATGGGTTCGGGCTTCAGCTTCTGGAGTTGGGACCTGGGGCAAGTGCTATCGTGCGCTGTGGGTGATAGGGATATGATTTCTTGGAGGAGTTGGAGTAGCAGAGGGAGGAACGGGTTTTGTGAAGAAAGGTGGCATTTTTCGGAGACCCAAAGAGGTTTTTGAGCATTGAATGGATGAAAGCCCTGCAAGCACACTGTGAAGGTCACCACTGCTTCTGAGTCTGACCCGGAGGTTCTCTCGGCTTTCAGGTGAATAGAGCTAGTTGAATTGTCCTCACCCGGTTCCGAACTCGCCAGTTCGAACTTGGGTGATGAGTCTGACTCGCTCCATTCATCCGAGTTGGGGAGTTCGGATATCCATGACCAAATATCCATTGTGTGTTATTCTGGGTGGAGGGTTGAACGGGAGGGACGTGGTTTTAAGGAGGGAATGGATGATAACGGGATGGAAGCAATTAAAGCCACGCAAGGATGAGGAACTGGTGGTGCTAAGGGGCTGTTTGTGTCTTATTTGAGGTATTAGCTAGATTGGACTCATTGATAGTATCTAGTTTTCTTTCGCTTTCTTTCTACTTGTATGGTTATTGAATTGAAAGGAATTTGCTTTCGTTTCCATGTGATAACTGCAGACGTAGATTCAGATTTTGTTTCAGTTAGTTTATGGGGCCTGACGCCTTACACGTGTTGAAGTAAACTTGGCTACTAGGCATGCAACGTTTGGAAGTTTATAATTTGATTATCTCTTGGAGTATAATATTAATATGGTTGATTTTTATGTTTGTATTGGATTGGAAATTAACTATTTGTTGAGTTTGAGGCGATGTTAGAGTTGATAACTTAAGATTCGTGACATGTGGTGATTAGCTAGGTTAATAATAACTTATATACTTCTCATAGTTTTTTAACAGCTAGCTTTGCATTACATAGTACATACTCGTGTGAATTGGTTTGTAATCGAAAATAGAGAAAAATAAGAACATTCAAAATGATGGAAATGACTTAAAAAAATTGATGGAAGGAGTATTGACCCCTTCTATGATCACTGTCTGGTTGTGTGGTTTAGATTGAACAACTGTGGCTCCCCACTGGCCGTGGAGAATCTGGAGATGCTCCCAAAGAAACAAATTCATTTTGTTAAAAGAAACAAATTCATTTTGTTAAATATATTATATTTCTTTTCAATAAAACCAAAAACGTTATCTTTCCATTAGCCCTGGTCTTGATTGATATCTTGCATAATTTACAAGAAAAAAAGAAAGTAGTAGTTTGCATACGCATTACTTTTCATGGTTGTAATTTATTATGATCAATACCTATGGAAGCAAACAAAACTTATTTTGTGACAAAGGGAGGCCAAAGACCCACAGAAGAAACCTACAAACTAATGAAAGCGGTAATCGGAATGGTACAAAGCATCCACATTCGGCAAGCAAAATGAGGTCCATATCCAATTGTTCTGTGTAAAAACTGATCATACAAAATATAATGTCCATTTGTTCAATTCAATAACTAATCTAAATTTAAATTACATAGATATTGTATGCATAATCCATAAATTTAGTCATCTTGAAAAATAATGCTTATGCAAAGCTTGATATTTTGTTTTAAAGAAAATTAAAGGACCCATTCAAAAAATATATAGCTGATATAGTTATGGGAAATTATATTCTTATGTTGCATAAGATTTCTCTCTCATTTTACACTCACATAAAAAGACGTGCATCTCTTTTCTTTTCTTTTTCTTTTTTCTTTTAAATTGGTGGGCTCCACTTAATTTATCTCACAACATGAGATAACTTCTCTCCTACAACATGAGAAAAGTAAAACCCTATAGTATATATATATATATATATATATATATATATATATATATATATATATATATATATATATTACTTTTTTAAGTACGTTACATCAACTATTTAAATGATATATTTTTTTAAAATAAACTTATGTTACTTTTTTTAAACTGTATTTAAAGTTCAATGTTAAATCGAAAAGTATACTAACAATACCCATTACTGATTAATAACATGTTTGGATTACAGTTAATTAGTATAAGTGTGTAAATTGAGTTTCATCTACAAATATTATGTCTGGAAAATTTTTGGCTAGATTGTGTTTAATATGAACTTGAGTAAAAAATTACATTAGAAGTTACCTTTTTCATTGTATTAAATTATGAGTTTTATAAGAGTTATGTTGTAGGAAAAGTGATTGTGTAATGTTATAGAGATTCGTTTTGCGTGCCTTAACTTTTTATTTATTTTTTTGTTTTAAAAAGTGTGGGTCCCACAAAATATTGTGAGGGTAAAAAAATTTGTTATGTTATGTTAAAGAATAAAACGAAAACCCTTAAATTATAGTTTGCAAACTATAATTATCCAACCATGCTATAAATGGGTGACGATTAGACCTTTTACTGTACATTATAATTTTATGTTACTTGTCCCTCAGGATGTGAAAAATGTCCGGAAAAAAAATGTATAAACTATATCACAAAAGTTATCAAAATAATAATAATAATAATGAAAGATATTTTATATCAATATAATTATATTTTTAATTTTATCTGTTGATCTCATTTATATCTAAATATTTTAATAATAATATAAGCACAAAGTAAATAGGCAGGTTACTATTTTGTTGGGTTAACCACTGATCATCTAATTTAGGGAAAATATCCAAATATTTCAAGTCATGTTAACACAAGAATTACATGTTAAATCTCTTTGGGATGGATAATGTGGAAATTTTGTATTTATCTATCTGTTTATTCATGTTGAGAAATTGTATCTGAATATCAGTTATTGAATACATGCGAAGTGAAAGATAAATATAAAATTTTCACTTAACTTAATATCATCAAACACATGGATGAACAAATATAGCTAGAATTGTTCCAACTTAAAAGGATGAATCCTTTTTTCATTGTACGAATAATCATTTCTTCAAATCACTTGTTACCTTTTAGGCTTTGTTTGAGGGTTGGTTTTAGGATGGGAAGAAAAGGAAATAGAGGGTTTTAGTAAGTTCTTCCCTTGTTTGGGAATTTAACAAAAAAAGGGGAAAGAATTGGGAATTTTTACTAAATCCTCCAAACTCTTCTTTCTTCTTAAAATTAAAGTTCCCCCAATTTGAGGGGGGAATATTAAAATTACTTATTTCCCTTACTATTAAAATGTGAATCATTTTTAAATGTAAAATTATTAGGAAAGTCTCAAATATCGTCAGAATTTATCAACGAAAAATATTTCGTCAAAAAATAGTGTTGAATTTTTTTATGAAATTATATACGTCAAAAAATTTCCGTCAAAACTAAAGACGAAAATAGAGACGGAACCAGATTTTGCCATAATCACTAACAATTTTTTTACGGAAAAAAAAATTCATTCAAAATTATTAATAAAATCTAAATTCCGTCAAAACTTTCAACGAAAATATTTCCGTCCAAAATTTTGACTAAATACATTTCCACCGAAAAGTTTCGACGTAAAAAAATTACATCAAAAAATTTTACGGAAAGCATTTTCCTCAAAAAAATTCGCAAAAATTTTCGACGAAAAATATTTCCATAAAAAATTTGTGACTAAAAACATTTCTATAAAAAAATTTGACGAAAAATTATTTTTGTCAAAATTCTTTACGGAATCTAAATTTTGTCAAAATATCTCTCAAAAAATATATATTTATCGAAATTTTTGACGAAAATATTTTCATTAAAAATTTCAACGAAGCACATTTTCATCAAAAATCTTTGAAGGAAAAAAAATTTCATCAAAATTCGTTAAAGAATTTAAATTTCGTCAAAAAGTTTTCGACGGAAATATTTTCGTTAAACTTTTTGACAAAAAAAATCTCTGTCGAAATTTTTCACGAAACACATTTCTATTGAAAATTTTCGACTGAAAATATTTCTGTCAAAAGTTTTGATAAAAAAATTGTTCTACCAAAATTTTCATCAGAACACATTTCTGTCAAAAAAATTTGACAGAAAATATTTTCCTAAAAAATGTCGACGAAAAATATTTTGATAAAAAATTTTGAAGGAAAAAATATTTTGTCAAAATTCTTTACAGAATCTAAATTTCGGCGAAATTTTCGAATGAAATATTTCCCTCAAAAATTTTGACAAAACAAGTTCCGTCGAAATTTTTGTTAGCACACATTTCCATCGAAATTTTTTACGGAAATCTTTTTTCGTTTAAAAGATTTGATGGAGGAAATCATTTTCGTCAAAACTTTTGACGAAAGCTAAATTTCGTCAAAAAATTTGATAGAAAGTTTTTATCTTAGAAAAAATTTCATCGTTTTTCGATGAAAAATATTCCTACGAAAAAATAATTGTGACGAAATTTTCATCGTTTGCAACGTAGAAATTTCGTCAAAATATGATCTTTTTTAGTATTGTGAAAAGTACATAAATAATTTTGGTAGAAATTTTAAATTTAATTTAATTTGTAAAATTTAATAATTATTTTCATTTTAAAAATGGGGTAAAATGATAAAAATATCTCATTAATCCTCTATTTTTCTCCCTTACCATTAGGGGTGTTCATAAACCGATTCAAACTGCAATAACCGAACCGAAAAACCAATAACCGAATAAACCAAAAACCAAAATATCGAAAATCGAAAAAAATCCGCAAATTTTAATTGGATTGGATCGGTTTTCGGATTGGTCAATGAAAACCGATCCAATCCAAACCGATCCAATATATTAATTTCCCTTTACCTACTTGGATTTTTTCCCGATCATAGCCCAAAAATTTCTAAACCAAAGACTCATTAACTCATCAACTAAACGTAAGAATAAGCCTAGTCACATCTCATTAACAAAATTTAATTTGTGTAGAGTTTCATATCTCATTGCCAAAAAAGAAAAAACTATATTATCGCTTAATGATGCTTTTATATTTTTAAAAAATAAAATTACAAAGTCAATATATATAAAAGATGTTATTTGCACAATAATCATGAAATAAATTTTAGGATTTAAAAAAAACTGAAAACCGATCCAATCCAAACCGAAAAAAATTGGATTGGATTGGATCGGATCGGATTTGGAAAAAAATTCAAACCGAATGGATAATTACATGATCAAACCGAAGGGATTGGATCAGATGATATTTGCTTCCAAAACTGATCCAATCCAGACCGCGAACACTCCTACTTACCATATTTTTAACTCCCAAACAAGGGAAGTACCCTTCAATTTCCTTCCCTTCCTTCCCCTCCCTCCTCCTTGGATCCCCTTCCCTTCCCTTCCCCTCCAAACTCCCAAACAAATGCCAGTGTTATGTTCCTTCAATTGAAAATTAACACTTCATAACAGGAAAACAAAAATTCTCTCACTTTTTAATAGGAACATTTTTTTTTCTTTAGTGTTAGCTTTTTTTGTTTTTTTAAGTATTATTTTTGAGAAAAGTGTATGTCATTTTAAAGTATGTAAAGTTATGTCATTTTAAGAGAGAAAAAGATAGATAAAGGAGGAGAGAGAGTTGACAAAAAAATTAAAGGTGTGGGCCCCACCTATTTGTGAGAGTAAAATGACACAAGTTATGTCATTTAAAAGGATAAACACTTTTCCCATTATTTTTAAACTAAAGGGACAAAACACGATAACATGTTTTGTGATCGGTTCACACACACACACACACCATATTTCATTTATTTTTATTCATATTCCATTTATTTTTATTCCATCATATATCCAAGTAAAGCATATTCTAACCAACATCATGCTTTACTACTATATTTAAAAAAAAAACAAAATTCCAAGGATTTATGTCCACACTTGCGGACATAGGCGACCAAACTGGTCCGCCACTGCGCGCGAACACGCATATATACTGCGCGCGAACACGCATATATATATATATATATATATATATATATATATATATATATATATATATATATATCCTTACACCGGTTAAGAGTTAGAAGTTTTACACTTAATCTTGATCATTGATCCATTTGTATCCAATGGCTCACATTACTAAAAAATTAGAGCTCTTAGATATAAGTGGAATCAACGGACAAGATTGAGAATTTAACTTATACTAGTGTAAAATGATCTTGATCATATATATATATATGTATGAAAAAGTATTTGTCATATTAAATAACATAAAATTATGTCATTTTAAGAGAGATATTTTTTATTTAAAATTTTAAAAAAAATCATTCATTTTCTCTCCCATGATTTCTATTTCTTGTGTCTATCTCTCTTTTGAAATGACATAACTTATGTCATTTAAAATGACAAATACTAAATCCATATGTATATATATAGGGGCAGGATCTTCTTACACCGGTGTAAGAGTTATTACTCTTACACTCAATCTTAACCATTGATTTTTGCATATCTAACGGTTATAATTAATAATTAGTTAATGAGAATAATATAATTAATTACAGTCGTTTGATAGACGAAAATCAACGGTTAAGATTGAGTGTAAGAGTTATTAATCTTGCACTGGTGTAAGTTGATCATGTCTCATATATATATATATATATGTATATATATATATATATATATATATTATTTTATTTTATTTTGTGTATGTAATGGTTGAATATTTAAGAATGCGGGTCTCCTTCAAGATTTGAGTACTCTTGATGTTTTTACTGAGCCATTTGCAATTTGATGTAATCGCAGTACTTGGTAGGTGTAGTTGCCGCCGATAAGCTCAAGGGGATTCTCTGCAGGAATGCGGCAGTTGGTGTTCTTTATTTTAATTTTATTGAGGGGTATGAATCTGTCCAATGCATTTATTTCCCATTAAAAACGCTTTACGTTTACTGCCTTGGCACTATTTGACTTCGGTGAGTTTATGACATCACTATGCTTGCTAGCTTGCATAGTATTTGTTTTTATTGCATGCTTCAGGCTGTTGCTGCGTCCCTGCTTACCCTTTCCCCGATAGGGTAGATTTCACTTTGGGGTAACCGGTAAGGATGCAGAACGCTCCAGCATGTGAGCGCTACAGTCTTTATACATTAAATTTTACTAGGAGTGTAAATACTTTTATTTGACAAATAAAGAGAAAACTACGCTCTACCAACAACAAAAAAGACTCTATTGATTAGTAAAAGATTTTTGGTACGATAGAATTTTTTTTTGACCCGAAAGAAAAATTGCAAGAGAATATTACGAGAAACTTTTGTTGCCTGATAAGTAATAAAAAAGTGTTTGGTAGTCTAAAATTTTACAGAAAAATTTGGATTAATTTTACTAAAATATGTTTGGTTGATTGTAAAAAAATGATAGAAATATTTACTGAAATTATCTTTTTTCACACCTAAACAATGGCTCATCAATTGAGGTTTAATAAATGTATTTTGATCCAGGGCATTTTAGTCACAATAAAGTGTCAAAAATTTCCAGGGAAAAAAAGATAACCACCCTTACAATTGCAAAATTTTGGAACCCATTCATGAATAAAGTGAAAACACGCTAAACTTTTTTTCAAAGACATCTTTTTCCTAATCCTCCTATCAAATATTGACTATTATTTTTCTTATATTATTTTCCTGACTAATTTATTTTTACCTCCTACCAAACAGTCCCTAATTGCTTGAGCGCTAGTATTGATTAGTTATTGCTTGAGCTAGTATTGATTAGTTATTGCTTGAGCGCTAGTATTGATTAGTTATGGCCTTTTCATTTTTAGCTCATGTCTCCACAAAAATAAATTTGGAGTCCAATTCCCTCTAATAGTTTTACCTTCTCCTTTTACTTTATGAGGTTTAAATTGGGTGAATTTTTTAAACTTTCCAATTGAGAGTTAGTTTTTTAACAAAAAATTTAAAATGAGGAGAGATTATATTCTTTTTTTTTTGTATAAAGAGGAGATTATATTATTTTAATATTTAAGAAAGGCATTGAATTGGAACCCAGATCATGTTATTGTTAAAAGCAAAAGTCAATTGAGTAAGTCAATTAAAATTGGTCAATACAATTTAGTTGATTTTTTTGGGGTAAATATCACTTTTAAACTTTGAAAATTAGAGCTTATTCTCAAGTACAAGAATAAAAAAAATCAATTAATTAACAATTACCATTCAAAAGAAATCAAATCTCAATGTACAAGTGGAACAACAAACAACAAACTAGTTAGGGGCACAAATGATTTAATAACCATTAATACAACAAAAAACACAATTATTAAACCATAATCACCAAAGACATTACAACTTACAAATCTAAAATGCTCAGTCATTCGCAAAATTATACGGTTTGTATAACTATTTTAAAATCTCTTTAATTAAGTATATACAGAAATTAGGTAGGTTGGCAGGGGTGCTAAACGAGCCAGGGGCCTTTGGCTCGGCTCGTGAAGGTCTGAACTTACATGTCTAAAATTGATTGTTGTACCCAGACTTGAACTTGTATAAAAACTCGTTTAATATAAAGGCCTAAGGCTCCAATTCAAAGGCTCGGCCTTAGAGTCTCTCAGGCTTGCCTAATATATTAATTTTTTTATATTTTTTTTTTATATTTTTGTACGACTTGTGATAACTCTCTCTCTCCTCAATCCATTTCATTCCATTTTATTAATTAAACAGACTTTTTGAATGATTTTATTTTATATTATGCTATTTGGATATATATTAAATTTATGAATATTTATGGAATTACTAGTGCTGTTGATTGTATATTTTGTTTGAATAAATTTTTGTTGTCTTATTTTTTTTAAACAGGCTTAACAAGCTAAAACAAACTTTTATTTTTTTTAAATAAGAAAGGCCACATGCTGAAATTATATTCGTGACAGGTAACAAGCTTGGTCAGGCTGACACATCTAAATACAAGCTTAACCTTTTAAGACCAAAGCTCAGCTTGGCTCGACCCGTTAACATCTCTAGCAATAGCTATTCGTAAGCATCGTAGCTCCCAAAATCTCAAAAAGAATATCCATACCAAATCCAATAAGATAAAGCATGTTCTAGAATACTTGGTATTAGGTAATGGTTGAGTTAGCAACTAAGCATCCTGTTGGAAAAGCATGATTAATGATCTAGCACTAGTAAGTAGTAACAAATGGTTATGTTGGTGGTGATGAGTGTGACAGGGGAATTGAAGTGGTGCATTGGAGAGCGAAAACACGGTTTTCTCGGGCCAGGTGGGTTTGACCATTGGTTGCCGAAAACCGAAGCCGTCCTTGGAAAGAGCCCAGTCACTCACACTAAGCCCAAGTCTGTAACGGCTGCCATTTACTTCACCACACGGTCCTTTCCTCTTTTTCTTTTGTTTTCTTTTGAGTTTTACATATCAACAATGACATAAACATAGTTACAAATGTCTTCCTCACTCTCTCACACTTGACACTTGTTCCTCCCTTTTCATCATCATAACTCTCTCCTTCTTCTTTCTCTTTCAGAATCTGTGAAACACAACTGGTTAAATACCATTCCCATTCCAAGTCCTGAGCATTTCTCTTTTCTTTCCTTTTTTCTTTCTTTTTTCTTTTTTTTTTTTTTTAAAATGGAGGCCAAGGAGGAATTTGAAGTGGACCATCTGATGACACCCACAGGGACCAGTTTCTCTGAGTTACTATTCGGAGAGGACGATGATAATGAGAATGCATTGGGTGTCGGTGTGGACCAGACCTACAACCTTAGCCATTCCCCTGTTTTCTCCATTCACAAGACACCCAAAATGCTTTGCTTTGGTAACTATCAAAATGAATGTGACCTATTGCTTTCTGAAACCAACGCTACCACTCAGAAATCTGTCATCACTTCCAGTGATTCTTCATCTGCTTCTTCCTGCAACTACAGCAACACCGGCTTCAATTCCTTACCTAAGTCTAATGTCTGTGATAGTATTTGTTTTATTTTTATTTTTGTTTTTTTTTATGGTCATTTCAATTGGAGAATGACCTTGGTGGTATTATATTGATTTCTTTATCTTTCTCTCTCTTTTTTGGTTAAAGAGTTTGCAGAAAAAGCGAAATGGATCGGGACAAGAACCGGTGACGACCAGGGCAGGTTCTGGAGGCCAGAGACCACCTAAGAAGACCAAAGCAGAGAATCCTAATTCAACCGGACATGCAAAGGTGAGGAAAATCAACTATTGAAGTGTTGCATGTCCCTCTCTCCCTTCAATTAAACTCTTGCAGAGTAACAAGTCACATGTTTATGTCCTTTCCTAATAAAAAATAATGTTATATGATTTTTTGTAAGTGGGAGATATATTATATTCAATTATATTATATAGTCTCATATTGTTTAACGAATTGTTCGAAATAGCAGAGGAAGGAGAAGCTTGGGGAACGAATTGCAGCATTACAACAGCTTGTTTCACCCTTCGGCAAGGTGAATGAGATTCAGTTTTCTTTAGAATTGGGATTTTGTGAATTTGTGTGATCAATGAATATTCAAAATGGGGTTTTTCCGTTTTTGATTGAAATTTGGAATATTGAAACTGCATGCGCAGACAGATACAGCTTCAGTGCTTCACGAGGCCATGGGGTATATAAGATTTCTACATGACCAAGTTCAGGTCCTGTGCTCCCCTTACCTGCAACATTTGCCTTCCTCAAACCACCAACTTGAGCATCAGCATGTGAGTCCCATCACAATCGTTCTCAGAATCGTCTATACGTTTACGATTTATTATATTAGTATAACTTGGTTTTCAAACAAAATCTACAACTAGCAAAGGTTTAAGAGGGTAAGTTGCAGGGCCTGCTTGATGGGGACAATACTGCACATTACCTTACTTGAAAATGTGTTGACCCGGGTTAGCAGCTCTTTATGGTCACTCACTGCAGTCAAACTGTGACAGTTTGACGTTTAAGGTAACTCTTGATGACTAAGATTTTTAATTTGTATGCGTTATTTCAGGGGGACGGAGATAACAAGGGAGAGGAAGTGAAGAAGGACTTGAAGAGCATGGGTCTCTGCTTGATCCCAGTGGGATGCACCGTACACGTGGCAAGTAGCAATGGTGCTGATTTCTGGTCACCTGCTGCAATAGGGAACAATGTTTCACCATCAGCTAAGCAGTAAAACGAAAATCAATGACTTGTTTTCAAAATTTGTATCTTTTTGGAAATGGGTTCCTATATGTCTGCCCAAATTGGAGATATACTCAATATGACAGCTTATTTGGAGATAGAAGGATGACAAGGTAAACTGCAAGAAAAGGCAAAGAGGGATAACAATTAACAAGAGTAGTTCAAAGTTCACACATGGAGTACAAATGAAAGGTCATGATTTTAACCTTATGTAACATCTGTTTTGTGGGGGGTCATTTTCTGAGGACATCTATATTCTATAGAAGGAATGAAATATTTTATGTAGGATTTAGGGATGTGTGGCTTTGAACTACATAGCAGTCTAGGATGCCATGTATTTTAATATATATTTTATCTCTGGAAATCTCGGTAGGTTCAGATATTTATAATTAAATGAAGTTATTCCAAAAGGGTTGGCAACTTTTTAGCAAGGAAAAACAATAGAATAAATGAGTCTTGAAATGTGAAAAGCAGTGTTATAAAAATCAATCCGACACGATTGGTTGGTTTGACCGATTCACTCGTAAATTGGATCTCCAATTGATCTAATTTAGGTATTAAATTGATATTTCTATTTGATCCGCTAAAAAATTGATAAATTGATTTTGAATCTAGTTGAGCTGGTATTAAATTGGCATTGATTTTTTTTTAAAAAAAAATTGATTTTGTAAAATTTTGGATAAAATATATGAAAAATAGCACTAATGGTATTAAAATCTAGATAATATGAATTATAATTTATAATACTTATATTTAACTTATACGGTTAAATTAGTGATTTATTGAATGAATTGGTGACCCATTAATTTAGTATCTGAACTAAATTGATGACCGGTTCAAATTTAATAGTACTACTTAAAAGTTTCACCTTGCTGTGAATATAAAAAATAGCATATCCAAAATATTCAAGTATAAATATGACTATTGGAAAAATAGAGAAAAATTATATTTACAATCTATTTTCGGGTATAATATTTTATAATCATATTTTAACTGTTAATTTCTATTAATTAACAGTTAAATTTTTTGCAAATTAAATTTATTGATTAACAGAAATTAACGATTTAAATATGATTATAAAAGATTATAAATAAAAAAATTATAAGTATAATATTTTTCAAAAAAATATATTTAGGATATTTTATTCAGGGTGTCGTCACATGTGACGGGATGGCCGTGATTTTGGTTGGAGTCCAGGACAAAAATTGGAGCGGTACAAGTTCAATAACTGTAGGTCCCTCGTCCGACTACGCGTGATGTTATAGCTCCATTTAAAGCTTTCGTACTAAGATGATCGCAACTTCATTGATAAGATGTTGGCGTTATCGTTTTTGACCCTTATGCCCCTTAATTAATAATTAATTACCAAATTGCCCCTCATTCAAAACTATTTCGAAAATTTACCCTCCCCAACAAACATAACACCAATCTGCCCCTGTTTGACCGTTGACCACGAAGCCTACCCGGGTACACCATTACCTACCCGGGTAAATTTTGAAACTTTTTATCTACCCGAGTATGTAGGGGTGTACCCGGGTAGAGTTCTTGAATCTGGGAAAATGTTTGAATTATTTACCCGGGTACGGAGCAGTGTACCCGGGTAAATCGCGTCCAGAAACCCCAATATGTATGGGTTTCGGCCATTGTTGCGAGGTATAGGGTTTTTGAAACCCCAAAATCTTTCTCTCTTACCCTCTCTAATCCGAAACATCACACATATTTCATCTCATCATTTCAGAAAGCTGAATCTTGGTGGGACATTGAGATTACATCTCCACACTCCCATTTTGTGCTAAAAAATCCGAACCAACCTCCAAACCCAAAACCTAGATCTAATTTTTGTGTGAAAGATGAGTTCAAGTCCAAACATGGTTCCTATAGTTGTTTACTACAATGGGAGGCATTTTGAAGGTCCGAACGGTGTCCGATTTGAAGGAAAAACAAAAACGATGAAAATCAAAGTGGGCACTACATGCAATGAACTGAAGGAGAGAATTCTTCAAAAAATGGGGTCAGAAGGCATACATTCCATCCACCGCATGATAGCCAGGTTAGAGACTGTAGTGGATATGGATACAATATACTACATTGGAAACGATATAAATGATGATGAAGATGTGGAGTTCGTAACAGATGCGTTTGTTGAATGGAAAGTATTAAAATATATTGAGATATATGTTGAAGTTGATGTTGGACAATCTTCATCTTTACCGGTGCATACAACCACTACTGCACACTGTACCGGTCAAGAAGATACAGTTGTACGATCTTTCTGCACCTCCTCAGGTAGCATGGGATGAGGATGAAGAGGATGAAGACGAGGACTATGTGGACAGCGAAGATGAGGGAGAACCTGAAAGTGCTATTCCAGAAGGTGATTCGTCAGACACTGACGTGGACGGTAATTTTGAGGCTGACATGAGCGCCGTAAGTCTCGGTACCCCAGCCTTGTCACCACTTCATGTCGACCCAGTCAGTAGTGGTAAGTTATTAAATTTGAATATTTGCTTTAGACAATTTATTATTTGTGGTAAGTTATTAAATTTGACATGATCTTTAGATGCAGGGTCTGAGGAGCCATTCTGGAATGAAAGCCAACATTATTCATTCATTAACTGGGCGCACCCTAATGACGAGTTGGAGATCCTATATGGCGATGATGACTTGCACGGAGGTTGGAAGTTAGGAGATCCGTTATTTGTGCAACAAGAATTTGGGTCCAAACCAGAATTGCAACATGCTGTGAAGATACATTGTATGAAGGGGCGCAGGACAGCCATAGTTGAAAAAAGCGACGAGTCAAGATTTGTTATGAAGTGTAAAAACCATGCTGACGGTTGTCCCTGGTATATGAGGGCAATTAAGCCGAAGAAGGGAGCTAACTGGGTGGTCCGTAAATGGGGTCAAGGTCACACATGCCTAAATCAAGGCCTAGCACAGGATCATAGACAGTTGGATTCAAATGTCATTTGTGCGGCTATAATGAGTATGTATTCTACTGTTTATTTAATGATTCAGATTAATTGAGAATATGGTAAAGTTAATTTTTTTTTCCAGATATGTTAAAGGAAGATCCATCCACAAGACCAGCTCTGATACAGGAGAGGATACAGGGAACATATGGATACAACATAACGTACAGGAAGGCCTGGAAGGCAAAAATGAAGGCCATCGTTAAGTTGTTTGGTGACTGGGAGAAATCGTACGCATTCTTGCCAAATTGGCTGAAGTATATGACGGAGGTGAATGTGGGTTCTGTGTTCAAACTTGATACAAATCAATGTTTTGATGAACGTCGGGTTTATACAGACAGGGCCGTATTTCAAAGGGTTTTTTGGACATTTCACCAATGCATTGAAGCATTCAAACACTGCAAGCCTATAATTCAAATTGACGGCACTCATCTGTATGGGAAGTACAGAGGTACTCTATTGATTGCAACATCTCAGGATGGAGATGGATTTCTGCTCCCTATTGCCTTTGCTGTTGTTCCTCCAGGTGAGTAAATAATTTTGCTTTGGGGTATGTGAAAGCATGTGACCCTTCTTTGCCACTTCATACTGTAAATAATTTCTGAGCTCATCCCTATTGACTTTGTTGTTGTTCCTCCAGGTGAGAGGTTGGATGATTGGTCCTGGTTTCTTAGCCTTTTACGTTTTCATGTCACACATAGGCATGGTATTTGTCTAATATCCGATCGTCATCGAAGCATCATAAGGGCGGTGAAAGACCACGGAGGGTGGCAGCCTCCATATGCTTATCATGTATTTTGTCTACGTCACATCGGAAGCAACTTCAATACCCGTTTTAGGAATGTGGAATTGAAGAAAACGTTGATGAAATTAGGTAATGTACGGTATAATTACTCACATTTTCAACCATTTGAAGAAAACGTTGATGAAATTCACTAACCAATGCATATGTCATGGTTTTTTGCAGGGTACACATGTTCAAAGATAAATTTCGACATTAGGTACAAGGAATTTATCGAGAACAATCCTGAAGTTGCTTCATGGTTGGATGCGATTCCGAAAGAGCAATGGTGCAGGTCGTATGATGAGACAGGACGTAGGTTTGGTCATATGACAACTAACCTATCTGAGTGTGTGAATAAGGTGCTTCGTGGAGCACGAAATCTGCCTATATCTGCATTGGTCAAGATGACATTCAGTAGACTCGTTGAGTATTTCGTCAAGAGACGTGAAGGGATTGAAAAAGATATCTCACAAGGTTGGATAATTTCAAAGAAGGTTGAGGCAGCGTTGCAAAAAAAATGATGAATTGGCTGGCACTTATCGTGTGAGGATATATGATAGTGACCTGTTATTGTTTGAGGTTGAGGATGCCTACAATCAATCTACACACGAGGTCGGTGACATCATGAGAGTGGACTTAATCAATCGTACATGTCAGTGTGGTAGGTTTACAGCAAGGAGGTATCCCTGCAGTCATGTATTAGCAGTTTGCAAGGTAGCCAAGCTAAACCATTATGATTATGTGGATCATGTTTTCAAAATTCCAACCATTGCTAAAGTATATGCTGCACACTGGTTTCCTATTGGCAATGAATTGTTGATTCCATCCGTTGTTGGGCCTACTGTAATTCCGGATGCTCAGTTGGTACGTGCAAAAGGAAGACCAAAGTCTTCAAGGATTCAGAATGAGATGGATTGGGTTGAGTCTCAACCCTCTAGCAGTCAGAGCAGATGTAAGCATTGCAAGCAAGTTGGACATAACATTCGTACATGTCCATTGAGACTAAGACAAGCATGATTACGTATTGTTTTTGTGTAGTACTTTGTTTTGTAATGACAATCACTTTACGTATTGTTTTGTTTCCTTGTACCCTAAACTTTATCTTGTATTAGTTATGTATTGTGTTGTTGAAATGTATTGTTGAACTGTATTCTTGTGTTGTTGAAATGTATTGTTGAAATGTATCCGTTAAGTTTAGCGAGTCACTCGTTCCGTATTGTGCAATCCGAATGTCTACCATACCCATTTACCCCTTCCCCGAGTCAGTTAAGGTTATTGTATTACACATCAATTACCAAGATGCTAACAAAATGGATTGAACAGCACCTGCTGCTGCATCTGCAACTGGTCTACCCGGGTAACTCGTAATGATATACCCGAGTACATCTTACCCGGGTAGACTATTCGTGGTACCCGGGTAGACCAGTTGCAGATGCTGTTGCAGATGCTGTTTTGGCAATTTTTGTTGCATTTTGGTAATTGTTGTGCAATACCTACATACGGTATGACTTGGGGGTGGATTGATTTCGTAGAAATAGGATGCAGTAATCAAGATGTGCGCCAATCAAAGTTGAAAATGAATAATAAACTACTTTGGGTTGAATTGATTTCCAAATTAATTATGACAATATTAATGCAAGGTCCCATACTAATGCATAGAACCAACAAGTCTGAACGTGCGCAAAACGAAAATTTCATTCATTCAAATTTTGAACATCCAGTACAAAAACATCCATGCAATGTAGGTAAAGTTCCTAAATGTACCAAAATGACTACATTACATCAAACTAAATCAATGATATGAAACCCTATGGACACACTAATCCGATGCCGTGTCCTCCCCATTCTCTTCATCCGATTGTGTGTCATCCCCATTGTCATCATCCTCCTCCTCCTCCTCCTCCTCCTCCTGAGTATGGGCACCCTCGCCAATTAAACCCTCCAAGCGTGAAACCCTTGTGTCCAACCGTGCAACCCTTGTGTCCATCTGGTTTCGCCACTTGCTCGTGCTCTGTCTATATCCTCTAAAGTCAGTAGTCAGATCATATAAGGATGCCATGACATGATCAAGTGTCCATCCACCCTCAGGAGGAGCTGGTGGTCGCCGACTGCGGGTGGGACGTGTCGGTCTGACATCAACCTCAGCAACGCCATCATCATCGTCATCATCATCAAGGCCTACATCATAAACCATGAAAAACAAACTTCAATACCACATTAAAAATTAAACAACACATAATTGCATAAACTCATAAAGACCAACACATCACCTGCAGGTGCATCCTCCATCTCAGCATCGTGGTGGAATGGGATCTCAGGTGGTTCTGGTGCCTTCTTCCACGTCCAGATACCCGCTCTGTTCGGTAGGATCCCACACTGCTTCAGGAGCCTCTCACCAAATATAGCATTCCAGCCTCTGGCGGTCTTCAAGGTCTCTGTTGCCATAGGCACTCCAAATCTATGCAGAATCTTCTGCACCAGAAATGCAAAAGGCAAGCTGCCTTCCACATCAGTATGCATATGTAATGCCTCCAGTTCACCTGCTGACTGTGAAGGAGGGCCCACAGGATGACAAAGTCCCCTTCCAGCACCTTTGAGTGATTATGCGGGCGCTGGAAAATAATATGTGTCACCACATAATGAAGAATGCGAGCAGAAACTGACAAGTTGCTAACAGGATAATGAGCAAAATGACCGGGCTCAGCGTCTGCCCTCCTAGTCTCTGTAACAATGGTCTCCCGGTTATAATCACCAAATATATGATGGCTGTCTCCATCATATAGTGCTGCTCCTGAGACACCATCAAAATCGAACCCCAGTAGCTCCGTCCAGATAGGAGCAGTCATGATGATATCAATCCCGCATACACGGGAAGTCAGCTCGCCTTGCGAGTAGCCAAGGTTCTGGTAGAAGGCTCTTACCATAACCTCCGAGTATGGGCACCGCATCTCCGCCAGGTGAAGTAAATGTGTCTGCTCAAGAAGCGGCACGATGTCAAAACGCTCTAGGTTGAAGAATGCCGAATCCAGTGATTTCGGTTCGCAGATCTTCCGGGTCATGAAAAACTTCACGAACTTCTCGTGTGAAGGAATGTCATCCTCAAACAAATATCCGAACGTCAAGTCCGGAGCCTGACTCGAAGCAGCCTGGGGCTGAGAGGATGACGACCCATCGTGACGACTCTTGGTTCTTCTCTCGGAATGGGTCACTGGCAGCTTTGAAACGCGTCGAGAGGTCATTGTGTCACACTATTAAACTGAAAAAATAACCAAAATCAGAAATTAGATACATGTTAGGGTTAGGGTTAGGGTTAGGGTTAGGGTTAGGGTTACATTCAGGGTTAGGGTAAGCGTATGACATACAAATTGATAAAATAATTCGGACAGAATCAAATGATATAAACGAAAACAATGAATCAGAACAGAAATCATAACATAATTGAAAAAACTGAAAAAAAAATGCACCTTTGATCGATTTCAATCGGTAGAAGGCAGAGAGGTTGCAAGGTCCGCGAATGATGATCACAAACAAGACGAATTAGTGCAAGATTATGCCTGAAATCGCTCAAGATGACACTCCTCCAGCAGCTCTACTCGGGTACCCCTTTTGTGGGTTTTCGAATGGGGCTGCTGGGGTATTTTAAAACCCTACCGTCGCGATTTACCCGGGTACACTGCTCCGTACCCGGGTAAATAATTCAAACATTTTCCCAGATTCAAGAACTCTACCCGGGTACACCCCTACATACTCGGGTAGATAAAAAGTTTCAAAATTTACCCGGGTAGATAATGGTGTACCCGGGTAGGCTTCGTGGTCAACGGTCAAACAGGGGCAGATTGGTGTTATGTTTGTTGGGGAGGGTAAATTTTCGAAATAGTTTTGAATCAGGGGCAATTTGGTAATTAATTATTAATTAAGGGGCATAAGGGTCAAAAAGCCTAGTTTGCTTAGATTTAACGAGTGTCACGTAGTTTCAAGTTTCATCTCATTATTAGTTCAAGGCTAGACAATTTGACTTTGGATTTCAAAAAGAAAAAAAAATATTCAGTTTGCTATGGATAAATTTTGCAAAAAAAAGAGAGAGAGAGCGGGGGGAGGGTGGTTTTAGATTACACATGTATATAATGTATATAAAATTTAGAGTAATTTTTTGGTCATCAACAAATTTCACAACGTCCATTTTAGTATCTAACAAATAAAAAAGTTCATCGTGATTTTTAAGAAATTCAAAATAGATTCATTTAGTTGAAATCGTTGTCCCTTAACAAATTCAAAAAAGATCCATATTAGTTTCTAAAAGAACTAAAATAAGTCTATTTTAAATTTTTTAAGGACACCATTTTATTTACTAGGGACAAAAGTAGACATTGTGAAATTTGCTGAAGAAAAAAAAAATATTTACACTAAAATTTATATTATGAATAGCAAATCAATATAAGTAGTGGGCACCGGGAAGAGGGGATTGGGTTTGAAATGTAGAGCACGTTTGAATTGTGTGATAGAGATGGAGAAGCAGTAGCACACTAAAAGCTCGTTAACACTTCACGAGGCTGAAATTGATTATTTCCCGTACGGCTAATATTTCAATAAGGGGGTATGTTTGTTTTGATACGGGCCTAATTAAGGCCTATGCTTTCAACTTAAATATTGTTGCCTCCCCCCCCTCTCAGCCTAAGTCCAAAGACCCAAAATAAGTACATAAATAAGTATTAACTGTTTAATATGCATGTTAGTCTGAAACCTTCGTACAACGCTAGTCTTCATTATACTTCAAATTATCTATTTATATGGTTATTTTTTTTACTAGCTTTATGTTTAATTTTTCATTTTTATACCAAATTAAATATAAATTGTCTAATAAGAATGTAATCGAATAACTTTGATTTGAATAAAATTATTTAATTTAGGATGATATTACTTCAAATTATCTATTTATATGGTTATTTTTTTTACTAACTTTATGTTTAATTTTTCATTTTTATACCTAATTAAATATAAATTGTCTAATAAGAATGTAATCGAATAACTTTGATTTGAATAAAATTATTTAATTTAGGATCATATTTTTTTTTTTTAAATAATATCATCCTAAATGAAGATTTTCCTAACTAGCATATTTGCAAATCGTTAGGTATGGGTAAACTCCATTTTTCTTAAGTCTGGTAAAATTGTCGTTCGCACATACGAAAAGTGTCAAATGATAAAGAAAACTCGGTCATTGAATTTTATTTTATTTTTTTAATAATGCAAAATATTTTGTATTCAAGCCCTATGCTGCTCTTGGATCTGTCACCTTCTTTTCTTCAATCTTCCATGACAAGGCGTTTTTCTGTGGATGAAATGAAATTTGGTAGATGTTGGAGTACCCAACATTCTGCCTTAGCAACGGGTCGGAGTCCTATCAAACCATAATGTTTGGGTTGATAGAGGTAAATAGAAAGAATCTCTTACTAACAATTATAATTTTTAGTCTAATAATAAGTGCTCGATCCAATATTTAATATAAGAGCCATGATTATTGGTTTTGATTCTCCGAGATGACACTTTGAGAGGAGCTATAGAAAACTAAGAGGATTTGAATATGTTGTTATATTTAATGAAATGGCTGATAGCCAATATATACACAAGTCGGTTATACAGAATCAAGGAGGATCAACTAGAATAAAGCATACTGTTCAACAAACTATACATGGAATAATAACAAACTATTCTTGCTAAAAACTAGGACTTAGTTGCTAAAGGATAAGATCAAAGGTGATCTTCTCCTAACACGCCCCCTCAAGTTGGAGCATGAAGTGACGAAATGCCCAACTTGCTGCGAAGAAAACTGAATTGCTTCATGCCAAGCGGTTTGGTAAATATGTGTGCGAGTTGCTGATCTGTACGGACGTAGGTAGTAGTGATTGTATTGCTGAGAACATGATCGCGTACAAAATGACAA